ATTGAAAAATACAATAATTGAAATTTAAAACATCATAGATGAGTTTAATGACAGATTCAACCCAGGAGAAAAGAGGATTAGTGAAGTAGAAAACAGACCAATAGAAGAGACTCAAATTAAGCGTGGTGAGAAATATAAATGGAAAATACAGATCAAAACATAAAAGACTTTTAGAAAAAATTCTTTGTGAAATTGTAGTCTCAGAAGAAGAAGAGAGAAAGAGAGAATAGGGCAGAAGAAATATTTGAAGAGATAATGCCAAGAATGTCACCAAACTAAGGCTACCAATTCAAGAAGTGCTAAGAACTCTAAGCAGTATTTTTTTATTGATGTCATACTAGTTTATAACATTGTGAAATTTTAGTTGTACATTATTGTTTGTCAGTCATCATATAAATGTGTCCCTTCACCCCTTATCCCCACCCCCCAGGCTTCCCCCTGGTAACCACCAAACTGTTCTCTCTGTCCATGTGTTAGTTTATCTTCCACGTATGAGTGAAGTCACATGGTGTTTATCTTTCTCTGTCAGGCATATTTCACTTAACATAATACCCTCCAGGTCCATCCATGTTGTCGCAAATGGGACGATTTTGTCTTCTTTATGGCTGAGTAGTATTCCATTGTATATATATACCACATCTTCTTTATCTAATCATCAGTCGAGGGACACTTGGGTTGCTTCCACTTCTTGGCTATAGTGAATAATGCTTAAGCAGGATTTTTAAAATCTTAAAAGTAACCAGAGAAGAACACATATTACATTCAAAGGAGCAAAATAAGACAAATAGATGACATCTCCATGAAAACAATGGAAGCCAGAAGACAAATTAAATGATATCTTGAAAAAACAGCCAATCTAGAATTGTATATTTGAGAAAATATTTTCCAACAAATGAAGGCATGTATTTCCAGACAAACAAGCATGGCTTGTTATCCTTTGTTCTGCCCACAGCAGCAAGCACAGGGGCTCAGGGCACATTTGTGGACTTATCGTCTGAATAAATGAATGAAAAATTAGGAAGCTGAACAAGGATTCCCTAGTGTTTTTAGTTTTAAATTGTAGAGTGATAATGCTAATATCTGCATGAGATTAATCATTGATAGTTTTAATGGTTTTCTTGGTAGAAGTCTATTACCCAAGGAATTGGATAGCTCTCCTTATTCCACAAAGGAGACAAAGTTTAAAAATATATAAGGAAACTGAGAGTCAAGTAACATAATCCCTGATATTTCATCCTGAATGTGTAGTTCAGTTAATGTCTACAAAAAGAGTCTCCATGAGTCACTGTTTTCTTAGCCAGCCAGTTCTGCAGTCTAGTTTAAAAGGGCTTTAAAGACCATGTGACTTTTCAAATTTCCTGGAGGATTTGTCGAGGCCTATTTTCCACAGCTATTTCTGCATTTAAGTAGGATGAGAGAGAAGTGATCTGTCAGCTCATTAAAAGCAAGGAGCTGAGCTGGGGTTCTAGATGGGAGTGCTTCCTTTTTCCTTGTTGTGCCCCAGCTGGACACCTCCCAGAGAAAGTGTGTGAGCAGCTGGGCTTCACTGCAGAACTTCAGACACATTCTGCAAGACCGGTTATGTTTGCACACCTATACTTGCTGCAAGTTTTTTGTGTGAGCTGTAGCCCCTTTAAACTGCCAGAACCTTGACTCTCTTGTCAAATGTGCAACACCCAACAATGAATGAAGAAGCCATTTATGAAGTCGTTCCTGGGGAGTGTGGACTGTACGTGGAGAAGTAGCTGTAGCATACACCATCCGTAAATGAGAAATAGGCCGTTTAGAAAAGAGATCTTTGGGTCACACGGAGAGTGGAGGAGTGTGGACTTGCACCGCAGCCCAGCTCTGCAACTCACCCACTGTTTTTCCAGGCCAGGCCTTTCTCCGTGGGGGCTCAGTACCTTTAAAGTCAGCAGGTTGGATTAGTTACTTTCTATGATGGATATTTTCCATTTGCCCCTCCAGATCTAATCTGCATCCTTCTCCGTCTTGCCCTGTACCCTGGAAGCTGAGCAGTGTGGACTATATACAGGGGTTCCTTGCTCTCTGGTCCCCTGTTGTGTTCTTCTCCTAAGAGAAGGGGGAGGGTGGGAGAAGAGCAAGATTGGGACATTAATTCTCCTGATCCTCTTCTTGTAGCATCACCAAAGGTCAGGTCCTGGGAGGCAGCCCTCTCCATGTAGCTCTTTCTGTCTCCTATTTCCAACAATCTCTCCCTCCCCTCACTCCTTCAGGCCTAGAGATCTAAGTGCCCCACAGTTACTGTGATTCCCTACCCCTGCCCACCCCCATGTATATAGCCACTTTCCTCAAAATACCCGCCCCTAGACAGAATTAAAAGGAGAAATAGATAAATCCACAATCATAATGGGAGACTTGAACACACTTCCATCAGTAATTTATAGAACAAAAAAAATAATTAATAAGGATATAGATTTGAGCAACTTATTAGCAAACTTGACCTGATGGACATGTATAAACAATGTGCCATGAAACTGCAGAATAGGGGCCGGCCCGGTGGGGCAAGTGGTTAAGTGTGCGTGCTCTGCTGTGGTGGCCCGGGGTTCACTGGTTTGGATCCCAGGCACGCACCGACGCTCTGCTTGGCAGGCCATGCTGTGGCGGCATCCCATATAAAGTGGAGGAAGATGAGCACGGATGTTAGCCCAGGGCCAGTCTTCCTCAGCAAAAAAAGAGGAGGATTGGCAGTTGTTAGCACAGGGTTGATCTCCTCACCAAAAAAAAAAAAAAAAAAAGAAACTACAGAATATACATCCAAGAGCAAGTGAAATATCTATCAAAATGGACCATACGTTTGTCCACAGCACAGGTCTCAACAAATTGCAAAGGATTAAAATCAGGTAGATGTTGTCTAACCACATCGGAACTAGGCTAGAAATCAGTGCTGAAAAGATAACTAGAAAATGCACAAATACATAGAATGTAAGGAATTTATTTCTAAAGTCAGTCTTTCATTCTCCCTGTTTCTAATCTTGATCCTTCTCCCTCCACCTTGGTGAAAAATGACAAAACTTTTTCTCACATTCCCACAGATTCATCCATGACAAAGCTCTTTCTCACATTCCCACAGATTCATCCATTATCCGGGCTCAAGCATTTCCTGAACACCCTTGTTATGCCAAGCAGTGGCCTGCCTCCCCTTAGGAAGCTCCATGCTCTAGTGCAATCTGAAGCTAAGTCCCATCCTATGGGGTCCAATGCAAGCAGGGAGCACTCCGCAATCAAATTCTTTTTTTGTCTGTACTGAAAAAGCAGCAGGCTCAAAGCTGGCCTCCAGGATGGAGAATTATTTGTCCTTTAAGTTCTTCTCAAATCATGTGAAGTCTGCTCAGCTCTGCAAAATGGAATCAACTTTAAGCACTGACATTACAGGCAATGACTATGATCCAAGACTTAGAGGAAATAGATGCCTGAAGATGATCTTGGTCCAAACTCTTCACCCCCTGGCTCTTGCCTCATTTTTTCCTGCTACTTGCTCCCTCCTGCTCTGATCTCTAGCCGTCTTTATGACTTACAGTTTTCCTGACTGCTTTACTCCACCCTCACCCCTTTAACTCTGAGTCTATTTGACTATCTCCCAGTCTTTTAGTTTTCAGTTTAAATGCCACTCCCTCCAGGAAGCCTTCCCTAATCCACAATCCCAAAACAGGACTAGTTGCCCCTCCTCGTGCTCCCACAACGCCCTGCACTCACCCCACTGGTGGTTCTCACCACTTTGTGTTACAACTTCCTGTTTGTTTTTCATTCTCCACATGCTTCGACTTCAGCTCCTTGAGGGCAGGCCCTGATCCTTCTTGTGTCCTCAATGTCTGGCTCAGGACCTGGCCCCTAGTAGAAATTCAGTGAATATTTGTTGAGTGAAAGAGTTAATGAATGTGCTGTTAAAATCAAGATTCACGAAAGAGTCTGAGAGTGCAATAGCTGAAATATTCCAAGTACCTCAGAGGTCATTGTCTCTGTAAGATGTTCCCCTCCACGATGTTTTCCTTAAACCATTTTTCATGATTGTCAGGCAATAATTACAGAATGAAATAATTATAGGGTACTTCCAGCTCCCTGTCGCCAAGGTTCTCCTGGTTCTCAGCCCACTCTGTAACAAGACTATCAACCTACTATGTAATTCCCACCACACCCTCTTCTCTCCCTTTCATTAACTACACTTACTCTTTTTGTTTATGTATAATAGAAGTATTTAACTTCTTTATTTAATGTGTGTGCATTTAATATATGCCCTAAACAGCGGTCTCAGTCACGTAGCCAGTGTCTGGAGGGCAGGTGCCTCATGCCTTTCTCCATGCAGAACTTGGCACAGTGCCATGAGAAAGCAGGTGTGTCCAAGAGGAGATAATGATTGGAGTTGCTTTGTGTTCAGTAGGACCGTAAATACAAGCTGCAACCAATAGAAAGGTCTGAGAGTACTTCATTCCCTACCAAAAATATCTCACTGCATGATTCAGCTGGCTTTGTCTCTGGAACCCCAGCCATCCCAGCTCCATCCAGGACCACAATGCATGGCTGGACTTTGAGCCAAGAGGCTGGAACTATTAGGATTGAGGGACCTCTTAGATGTGATATGGGAAGGAATTCAAAGGAAGGCTGAGTAAGAGATCCTCCAGGCTTTTTTCCAAGACACAAAGATGGTAGGTAGTATGTAGAAACACCTACAAAGGTTTTTGTTTACCTAACTGGATTATGGCTAATACACCATCTGTAAGTACCTTACTTATTTGTTGACATGTTTATTGTCTGTCTCCTCACCCCCCAGAGTGTAAGCTCCATGGGGGCAGGGACTTTGCTTTGTTTACTGCCTTATCCTCTACACTCACAACAATGCCTGGCACATGCTAAGCACTGGGTAAATATTTCTTGAACAAATGAAAGGGCTCAGGCATTGAAACAATAGGACATTCCCAGCATCCAGGGAACAGGTGAGACTTGCTGTAGGGAAAGTGGTGATTACATGGGCACAAAGGAGATGAGGACGAGAACTGAAGTTTATTGCTACTAGGGAATTAGCCATTGCAATGACAAAATGACAGTGAGCTGCTCAGCCAATCTTCTTTTTTTGACATCTGGGAGCAGTAAGTCATGGCCAAGTCCAACCAGGGTCCTCGGACCTCTGTGTCATCTCACACTTCTGGATGGGACACCATGGAATCCCTGGGCCCTGAACAGAGTCCTGGGGAGTTGTGCAAATGGTCCAGGAGACTATCCATCGCTGGCATCTCCTCTTCTGCTCACGTCGGAGCCCTGCAAAGCCTCTGTTGTGGTGCGGAATGGTATGGCTTGCATTTGAACTTGCTCGTTTTCCTGAAGCTTAAAATCTATGCACCCAGCTTCTTGTCCCAGAATTTATAACCTAAAGTCTACATAGATGTTCCTGTAACCCTTGATGTCCTTAAACTTGTTGCTCCTCAGATTAGCTTGGATCTGCCTTTGGCCGCTCTTGAAGGGGACAGTCTCCAGAGTGATGCTGGCTCTGTGTTGGGGTTTGAGGACTCCAATGCTGCAGCAGAGAAAGGAGAATGTCAGAAAATCGTAGGCATTATGATAACCCCAAACCCCTTTTCTACTCAGCAACCAGGTCTCTCCTTTCCTGGGGTTCTCAAAGCCTGGCCTGGGAGCCCTGTCCAGAAAGGATAGTGCCAACCCTGGGATAAGATGGGAGCGAAGGCTGAGCACTCCCAGCACTCACAGGACTCTCTGCTGTTTCTTGAAAAGACCACTTCCTTCCACAGTCAGCACACAGTCTGTAACCTCCTCCAAGAGGGGATTTGAAAATATCACCTGTACGGAGAGTGGCTGGTTCACAACAGCTGCTCCCAGAACCTAAACAGAGAAATCCAAGAGGAGAGGAAGGAGTGGAGAATGAGTCTCATTCTCCAATTCACCAAATATTTATGGAGGGTCCTGTTCCCTGTGGAGCTGGACTTCCATGGCCTGTGTTTTTCCAGCTATGGGTTAAAACCAACTTAATGGGTCGTTGTTAATGGTTTTAAAAAATGAAACAGAAGAGAAGAAAATAGCGGCATACATCACACAAAATATTGTTATGTGAAACTTTTTCTTCATTTATACATGTGTGGATGTTTGTGTAAAATATTTTACACCACTCAACCCAGCGTATGGAAAAGTCTGATGAATTGGGAGTCTCCAGTGATGTTTCCTCTGCTCCAAGGATTTCATCCAAGTGTGCAATAATCAAGAGCTCCCAGAGGATTCTCATGCATAGTTTGAGTGGATAGAATCTTCTTTTGGCAGTTTTTGTTTGTTTCTTCTTATTGCAATTCCACTCTATCCCTTCCCTCCCCTTTACCATAACTGGCTCATTTCTTTCCACACTGGTGTGTGAGTGAAGAGAAATGGATCATTCAGGGCTGTAGAGAGAAGGAAGTAGCCTCAGGGAACCTGGAGGCACTTTTAGTCCTAGCTAAAATGGACTCCAGTAGCTGGGCCTGCCAGACACACCCCAGCAGGGGGCACCATGCTTGCTTGGTGAGTCCAGGAGGCTGCTTGGCCTTGGGGAGACAGCACTGAAGGGAAGCGACCCGTGAAGTCTTCCCACCTAGAGGACCATAGAACGTCAGAGCAGGAGATGTGCTCAGAGGCCATCTAGTCTAATCCTCTCATTTGACAGTTCAAGAAGCAGAAGCCCAGGGGTTTGTCCAAGGATGCACAGCCAGGAGATGGCAAATCAAACCTCAGCCGAACTCAAGCAGTGCTCCTCCCTCTACTCCCCATCCCATTTTAGCTCATATTTCCTCGTGTTGACCCTGGGGAAGGCCAACAATTAGAGGTGGCACAAAAGAGGGGTCGCTCCCTGACCTCTCCATGGCACCTACTCAAGCTCCACCCATAAGGTGCATAATGGCGCGAGGGGATGGAAACCCTAAGGGTGTAAGGGGGTGGAGACCTTGCCCAGTGTTTTCACATAAACCTTACATTCCCGGTAGGGAGGCACCAGGGGTCACCAGAATAGGCAGAGGAAAGGAGGGGCTGATCTCCTGAGAAGGCTATCAAAGGGGTCCACCCCCTCCCAGCTGGATCCCAAGGAGCCCCCAGGCCACTTGCAGGGCTCTTGCCTACATCAATCATGATGCCTGGATAGGCTAAGGTGATGATCTTGTTCACCAGGATCTTCTCGGGGCTGCTCTTCTCTTCACCCAGGGCACTGATGCGGATCAGCTTGTCCGTTGACAGGTACTGGCTGTACTGGGAATAGGGAATTTTGCAGGGATAGGTCTTTGCTAGGGAGAGAACACAAGGATGAGGTGAGAGTAGCTGGGGAAATCAGCTGGGCCCGTGTTGGATCTGGGGACCCTTCTACAGAGAGGAAGGGGCCAATATGTACTGAGCCCCAGTGAAGCAGGTACTAGGTTTTCAGATGAAGAGACTGAGGTTAAGAGAGGCAAAATGGCTTGCTAAAGGTCATTCTGCTGGTAAATGGGTGAAGCTGAGGCTCTAACCAAGTTCTGAATGACTCCAAACCTCAGGCTTTCCCCACTAAACCGGGCTACTTTCCTTGAGGTAGCAAAGGAAAGGGAGGAGGAGGAATCTGTGCTGGAGGAGACACTAGGAAGACCAGTGTCACAGGGGTCCACCCATAGAATCCTTGTTGGCTGGCTTGACCCCACTGGCATTTCCATAACCCACTCTTTGTACACAGACTGTCCTCACGCCCACACCCAGAGCCCATACCTTCTTCAGGAGAGAGTGTGATGAAGGCTGTGTCCTGCCAGAACGGGGGCAGGGGGCTGCCATCGTGCAGCAGAGACTGGGCACTCAGGTTCACTTTGAGGTCCTTGGACTGGGGTGACATGTTGAGGGTCAGCAGGACAAACCTTATGTCCTGGCCCATGTTGGGTGGGTCGAGCAGCTGGAATTTGAGGGAGACCTGGACAACATCACTGGGCCGAAGGGAAGGTGTATCCAGGCTCCGAGGGCCGTCCTCACTCAGTGACATGGGCCTAGAAAGTTGTGAAGCTGCTCGGTGGGAGTCTTGGGACCTTCCAGCCTTCAGCTTCTGAAGAGCCTTCAGAAATACCTCCCTCTCCTGGAGGGAGCCTAGGAGGGCAGAGACAGCACCAGTTGTGGGCCAGGCTGAGCAGGGGGGTAAGCCTCGCCTGAACGCCCTCCCAACGGCCCCACCAACACTGCAGGGGTGTTGAAACCCTCATTTCCAACAAACACCCCCTATCATTCATCAAGTGCTTTCTAAGTGTCAGGCTCCGCTGAGCACTTGACACCTTTCATCCTCACATCAACGGTGAGAGAGGTGTGTTATTACTATCTTTATTATTATTATTTATTTTTAGCAATGCTTATGTGAATGTGTGAATGTGGTGTCCCCAATGGAGATGGAGGAGGGCCCTCTGGACCTTCTCTTGGGTGCCACGAAGGGCCTAGAACTTTTGTTTTTTAAATCAGTAGCATTATTTTGCTTATTTTTATTATTTTCTTTTTTACATTTTGACCCCCTTCACCCATTTCTCCCACCCTCCACCCCCTGCCAATCTGTTCTCTGTATCTATGAGCTTGGTTTTTGTTTTTAGATTCCACATATAAGAGAATTTTTGTTTTTTGTCTTTGTCTAACTTATTTCACTTAGCATCATTCCCTCGAGGTCCACCCACATTGCAGCAAATGGCAAGATTGCATTCTTTTTTCTGTGGTTAAATAATAATCCATTGTGTTTATATATACCACAATTTCTTTATCTATTCATCTATCGATGAACACTTAAGTTGCTTCCATGTCTTGGCTATTGTAATAGTGCTGCAGTGAGCTTGGAGGTGCATATATCTTTTCAAGTTAGTGTTTTTGTTTTCTTTGGATAAGTACCCAGAAATGGACTTGCTGGATCATATGGTAGTTCTATTTTTAACTTTTTGAGGAACCTCCATACTGTTTTCCATAGTGGCTGCACCAGTTTACATTCCTACCAACAGTGCACAAGGGTTCCCTTTTCTCCACATCCTCGCCAATGATAATAATAATATTATTATTCTATACATAGATGAGGGAAATAGGGCTCAGAGAGGCCATGTCACTTGCCCAAGTCACACAGCTTGCAAGAGGCAGAGTCCAGGTGGAAACCAAATCTGCCCAACTTGAAAATCTGTGCTCATGACCCCTAGACGCTATCCCCACAGGGAAGACGAAGGCCCACAAATGCAGAAGAATAAGCCTCTTAAAGACAACAGGGCATGGTGTGATTTCCTGTCCCAGAACCAATTATTGGTCTGGTGTAGATTAATTCCTGGAAATTTAGAAACCGAGAAACCACAGTGAAAAAAGGAAAAAATTCAGGCAAGCTGAGTTCCCAGAGCAGCCCAGCTTCAGTCCTGGGGAGGCGCTGTGGCCAGGATGTGCAAGAACACTCACCATGCTTCCCTAATAATCCCAGCAGCTGCCTTCACTGAGCACTTACTATCCCCAGGGCCTGGCCCCACAACCTCCCAGGCAGAGGCCACTTTTGTCCCCTTGCTCTGGGGGCCATTCTGGGCCTGGTTCCAGGCAGAAGGAGATCTTGAGACATTGGCTTCAGTAAGAGTATGCCCAGGGAGATGTGAATCAGAATTAGCTCATCTGTGGTCTGCTTTACTCCCAGATCCTGTCAGGCTGGATGGGAGGAGACAGGATACTGCCTGACTGAGCAGCATGCTCAGGCTCAGATTCTGGGGCTTCTCTGTGTTGGCCCCGAAGGCCACAGAGACAAACCACACACACCCACTCACCAGCACTCCCAGCAACTGCTCAGCTACCCTCCCTCCCCACCCCACCACATCCCTGATCCTGCCCCTCATCCTGCTTCTGGCCTTCGTGGACTGGATATTTTTGCCTGGCTCCCTGGTGGTTGAACCTGGTGGTTGGTCTTTCTCAATTTCCAAGAATTAGTCCACACCTGACTAACTTAGCTGCCCCTTTGCCTCTGATAGCTTGGGTCAGAAGCCCCTGACAGGTCTCCCACCTCTCAGAACCATCCTCTGCAGGGGGTGGGCGTGGGAGTGAACATTTGGCCTTACATTAGCCTCCATGCTGGCTGGTGGTCTCACCTGTCTCCAAACACTCAATAAAACACAGTTAATTAAACAATAAATGAAATACAATTAATTAAATTAATTAATAGGAGAGTTTACTCAATCCCCAGCCATCTTCTGGGGAGGCTGATTTTTTGGGAAGGCAGGGGTAAGGAATTCATATACTGTTGTTAGGATGCCTGTCAATGTGAACATCTTGAGAAAGGCGCTTGCTGGCCTGTGAGGTGTGCGGTGGTGGTGGGCATGAGGAAGTGAGGCAGTGGGACACCCCAACGAGGACCTTAAAACTGAATGGCAAGGAGACAGTAGACCTGGGTCGTGCCCCAAAGAGGGCTGCCCCAGCTGGCTGGGAGGTTCTCTGGAGTAGGGGGTGGTGCCCACAGGACTTGGACTCTGAGGGGACCTGGCTTAGTCGTACCTTCTCTGTACTTGTAGTTCTCAGTGATGTCATCCCGCTCATCACTCTGGATGCTCTTGGTGCTGATAAAATTGCCAACAGAATTTGTGTCCTGGTGAAGTTTCTGCTCCATCCCTCCATAGACAAGCCAGGACATGCAGTCAGCATTCACCATGGAAAAGGCAAAGGCTGTGTCGTAGTTCAGATCCACCTCTCCCTCTTTGATGGCTCTGACCGAGGCGGGGCCGCAGCAGTAAAGGCCTGAAGGAGAATGGAAGAGCCACGATGGGCCGTAGCTGCAGGGCCAGACAGGCATAGGGGTGCTTTCTGTGGGAGTGGGTTCTGTCTTTCTTCTGAAGAGCCTCACCATTGCTTGTCTCCTGAGGTGTGGCATCCAGCACCTGCCAGCCTCCGTATCCGGGAGGGACGTCTTTTCGGGCCATCCAGCACTCATTCCAGACATGGAAATTCCTGAAGGAGAAGCCAGAGGAGTCAGTGTCAGATGAAGCTAAGGGAGAGTTTGTAGTGCTTGTATTCTTTCTGGAGCAAGGCAGGGGATGATGAACGGACTGCTAGATAGTAAGACAGACTTAGTGCACCCCAGGCCTTCAAACCTCTGTGGGTGAGTGGTGACAGCTCTTCCTCCTGTGAGCCTCAACTTGCCCAGGAAAGGGCTTTCCTCTGTTTGTGAATAACGAGCGAAGGCTTCCAGAGCCAACTGAAGTTAAAAATCCTTCCCTCTCTCTCAGAAAGGTCCTTGTGGCTGCTCCTTGTGCACACTGCTGACTCGCAGAGGCAGTCATGGTCTTTGTGTCTGGAGTTGAGACTTCAGGCCCTCCTGCAGGCAGAGCCACAGGCTGAGTATTACATGAAAGAGGTGACAAAAAGGAAAACCTCACTCAGGGCAGAGAGCTGGTGATGTGAGAGTTTTAAACTCAAAATTGTTTTTGTGTTCAGCTGTGGCCCAGCCTTAGCATTGGGGATATGGAACCCTGGGGCTGGTAAAAGTGGGAGGGCATGACAGGGCAACAGGCTCATGGGCACAGTCCTGCCTCTTCCTTGCCTCCTCCCCTAGAAAGAGACTGAGAGGTTGTCTCTCACCAGACAGTGTCCTTCCTCTTATTCTCCAAAATCCTGCCTGTGTTGTCATAATACTCATCTATGATCAGGTTTCCATCTGTGTCGTGGCCAGAGTCAAAGTTGGTGATCACGCGGGTCGGGATCCCCAGGCACCTCATCACTGCAGAAAGAGCAGAAAAATCTCCTGTGATCTGTGGATTCAGGAAATCTATGAATTCCTGGACTTAGGGCCCTGGGCCCAGGGAAGTCATTCAACTGGCACCTACAGGATCAAGCAGGAGCTGTCTGGGGCACTGGGATGGTGACATTGCCAACCTCCCTCCCCACCTTCCTGAGCTCTTCTCTCTGGGGCTCACGGAAGAGACTCTGAGCAGAGGTTAGGCTGCTAGCTGCTCAGACAAGCACTGCCAAGGCCAACAGAAGGTCTAAGAAGGTCGTGGGTCCCCTGCTTGTGTCAGCAGGGCGGGACAGGGACGCCTGACTCAGTGGCCTGAGTCAGTGGCCTGACTTGGTGTCACTTTTCTCCTGGACATAAATCTCCATCTTCAAACCAAACAGCTCAAATTTTTTCTTTCCTGTGGTAAGGATTGTTGGCTGAGACCATCAGATTCTTAGGCAAAGAATTGCCTAAGAATTGGATTCCTTCTTTTCATGGGTCTCAGAAGCTTCTCAAGGAAAGCATCACTGGTCAAGGCAGAAAGGGAAGGAAACCGTGTAACAAAAACTCAGAAAAGTGAGAGCTTGTACTTGGTAGAGAAAATCTGGAAAGAAGGTAGAATGTTGTCTTTATTCCTGAGGGGGCATCTCTTCCCTTTGCCAGCCAGCTTCTCTTCTTTGTCTCCTGCCATATTTCCCCATTCTGCTCTCTTTTAAGTACAGCCATATCCCCCAGTCCATCCCACCCCAATGCCCTGGGGATTTCTGTCCCCTCAAGTCCAGCATCGGCAGCCCACCCAATTCAACAACAACAATAATAATAATAGTGCCTACCAGCCAGGGATGTTGCTATGTGCTTTACATACATTCTCCTCAGGACAACTCTACACAGAAGCTGCTGGTATTATCCCCATTTTAAAGATGAAGAATCAGAGGCTAAGAAAAAGTTTGCTACCTTGAGCAAAGTCACACAGCTAGGAAGCAGCAGAGCTTTCACTCAAATCCTGGTTTCATTAGCATTGGCTAGCTTAGCCAGCCAAATCCTGGCTGTTGGTACTAAATTCTGAGCCCAGCTCCCAGAATTATGCACACAGTTCAGCTTTCTAGTATTCTCACCTTATTATACATCCCAAGCATTTTCCTATGTTATCAAATATTTGCCAAAAGCAAGATTTCTAGTGGTAGTTACTTTTAGATATTTAGTTGGTTTCCAGTTTTTTCCCTGTTGTAAATAATGCTGTGATGAACATCTTTGTAGATCAATCTTTTTTTCCCCCTTGGGATAGATTCCAAGAGATAAAATGACTGAGTCAAAAATATAGATATTTCTAAGAGTTCTTCACTACTGTCATTTTAAAAAATGTTTATAACTTTTAGTTTAAACACTTGTTTATATTAAACATTTAATTGCTTATTGATTTTAGTTTAGGTGCCTTCTTATACTTTGGCACAAAGCCTCTCCAGGCCAGGGTGGGAACACGTCCCTGGATGCAGCCCAGGACAGGGAGGAGAGGAGCCCAGTGGGGAACCTGGAGCTCTCCCTGGAGCAGCAGGTCTGCACAAGGCCAAGGAATGAGGGCAGGGAGTGAGAAAAGCTAACAAGTGAGTTCTAGGTGGTGACACAGGACAGCCTCAGAGGGGAGGGTGAAGGTTGGAAAAGCTGCCACTGAAGGAACACGAGACAGGAGTGAGGCAAGAACATTCAGGTGACTCAGGAGCATGATGTGGGCACATTTATGTTAAGATTACAGTCAGGAGGGTGGATAATATGTTAATAAGAGAATGTGCCAAGGAATGGTGGGCAGGGAGAGCAGGGAGCAAGCCTCTGTTCTTCACCCTGATTGATGAATTCATAAACAGCCACTTAAAGTGTCAGTGGTGGTGTCAGCTTCTGCTTAACATGGCTGGATGAGCATTTTTCCACCTGAACATAGGTCATTGGTCTCATGGCACTCTGAAGTTCCCTACTACATGTGGCTTCTAATGATTTATGAGTCTGTCCTCCTGAGGTCAGAGATTGTGTGATATTCATATTTATCATTACACAGCCATTAACAATCCAGGGCCAGACTATTTTGCAGATACTTGGTGCATCTTTCCCAGATGGGTGAATGAATGTCTTGTGGATCCTTTTGCCCATTCCAGTGATTTCTGACTTCAGCACAGCACTGTCAGAATGGCTGTGTGCTATGTGATAGGTACCAAGCTTGACTGTCAGTAGAACATATGTTTGAGAGGTAAGGGATTTGCACTGGTATGTTCTCACTCTTTCCTCATCACGGCTTGTGAGAGGCCTGGGATGGGGGACAACAGCCTGTCACAGTGAAGCAACAGAGGGACAAGAATGGTTTCTTACGTAGGAAATGAGGCCAAGGCTCAATATCACACTAAGGGAGCTAACAGCGCTCAGATATCCACAAAGTCAGAGTTTGGCACCATGCTTGGCACCTACGATGATAAGGATGCTGTCAACTGGCAAGGAAGATTGGGAAGACCGAAAGACAGCAAGTTCAGCTGGGGGTGTGTGTAGTGACAGCAAGGCCCATGCGTGTTTCCTGGGGTCTTGCTCCCTCTGTCCTGCTTGCTATGTTCTCCCACAAAGAGCTCATCCTGTCTTGTAGCTTCATCTCTCACTTCTGTGCCCCCCACTCCTGAATTTGAATCTTGACCCTGTATAGAGACCTTGCTGTCACTACACACACCCCCAACTGAACTTGCTGTCTTTCAGTCTTCCCAATCTTCCTTTCCAGTTGACAGCATCCTCATCATCGTAGGTGCCAAGCATGGTGTCAAACTCTGCACAGGCATGATCTCACTTAATCCTTTCCACAACCTTCTGCTTATCCCAACTTGAAAGAGCAGAAACCTGAGGTTTAGAGAGGTTGAGGTCACGTGGCAGAAAGAGGAGAGCCAGGGCAGGATTTAAACCTGTGTTTCTCTGATCTCAAAGCGTCCTCATGCTTTTAATCACTAGCCACACCACTGCAGCACCACTAGACATTCCAGCAACACCTCGTTCTCAATGCACCTTCCTGTGACGTTTTCGCTGCCTACTCCATGCCACACTAATCTCCCTTCTTGTGCTCTCACTTAATCTCTATCACCTATGCCACACATTTTATCACAGGATGAAGCTCTCTATGATCTCATATATTTGTGTTATCTTGTCAGCCAGATTACAAATTCCCCTAGAGTAGGGCTCACATCAGATACTTTTCTTGCATTTCTTCATTCCTAGCACAGTACTGGGCACAGAGGAGATGTTCATTAAATTCGTGTTGAAGTGAGTTGTCTTGAACCTGTGAACAAGGTTTCTGCAGACTATCAGTCCTGATGACTCACAGTTTGACATGAGACTAAAGTGACTCTTTCGTGGATAATTTTGTGGGAGCTGAGTCTCTGATAAAAGAGAAACCCATATGGGGCGCGTGTGTTTGTGTGTGCGCACACATGCACGCACACTCATACAGTGATACTTGGACAAAGGTGGACAAGTTCTCGGTGTCAGGAAAGGACTACAAAGTTCCCAAGGTATATTACACCGCCTACACTCCCAGCATGAATGACTGTTTCTCTTCACTCAGCCATTCAGCAATCATTCAGTGACAAGTGTCAAACTTCTGTGATGAACCAGGCAGTGAGTTAGATGCATAAACGAAAATGAAAGACATTCCCGCCCTTGAGGAGCGCAGCTTCACTCTGACTAGTGGTGGACACCATCCTGATGGTCTATTAAAACACGGAGTCTGTTTCAAAACTGGCCATGAAGGCTTCTCCTCAGCTTTTCCTCCTCCCCCGCCTCCCTGCCTCCCCATGTGGAAATGTGGCTCCAATTTTGTAAGAGATATCAGTGAAAAGTTAGAGTTTAGTTTATGGAAATTCATTTGGTTAGCTTTGCTGCCACACTTCCATGGCTCATACTAAAGAATACAGTCAAAGCTCCAGCTAATAGTCAAAGTTATTGCATTTAAATGTGATGATAAATGCCATGAAATGAGCCATATGATTAATTTAACCTTAAACATTTCAAAGAATAAAGGAAGGAAATAAATTTAAAAAGTGGTAGAAAGGATGGGGAACTGAAGTTTGGGGGATAGCTAGAAACAGCTTTTGAACAAGACCCAGCCAGACCTCTGGAGCCCAAGAGGCAGAGGTTAAAACAGTATCAGACTAATTATAACAGCTAATACTTATGTAAAACTAACCATGTGCCAGGCATATTTCTAAGTGCTGGCCACATATCAACTCACAACTCTAGGAGGGAACATTCCACGCAATTTCATAAATCAGTGGAGAATAACGCTAGATTTGTGCTTAAGCCAGGGCATTGCACAAAGGAGAGTTTGGACTGAGATCTAAAGAAAGGTTGAGGCAAAATAACGCACCAGGGCCTTGGCTGAGGTTTCTTCTTTGAGAGCTAAGGGCTCAGTAAAAACAAGGAGGACAAGAGTTCTTGTATTGAAATGACGGTAATGAGGTACTTTACAGAGGCCACTGTACAACTGAGTGAGAAGAAGTCTTAGATGACATCTAACGAGGGATGTTCAAAAAAGTGTTAAGCAGAGGACCCTACATGCAAGCCAAATCCTAAGTGGTGATCCAATATATAAAAGACATACAAGTGGGGTAGTTTTGGGTGAACATAGGGTCCAGCCCCAAGCACTCAGCCTCCTCATCTCCCACGCCATTTTCCACCATGGATCCTGGGCCCAGGGCCCTACTTTACAGAAGAGGGGAGCATGTTCCATAGACTTGCTCACAGTCACAAGTTGGTGTCTTCCAGTCCTCAGCCCAAGTCATTGCTGCCCCCATCCCCATCCCATGCAGCTGTGGGCAGGAACAGACCAGGCACATTCCCAGGATGCCTGGCTTTTCCTTTTTTTTAAACAACTTTATTGAGATATAATTCACATACCATAAAATTCACCCTTTTTAAAGTATACAATTCAGTCGTTTATAGTATATTCCCAGGTTGTACAACAATCCCCGCTATCTAATCACAGAACATTTTCGTCACCTCAGAAAGTAACTCCCTGCCCACAGGCAGTCACTTCCCATTCCCCCCTCACCCCCAGGCCTAGGCAACCACTAATCTAGTTTCTGTTTCTATGAATTTGCCTATTCTGGGCATTTCACATGTATGGAATCATACAATAAGTGGCTTTTTGACACCTGGCTTTGGGGAGAATTTTCAGTCAACAGAACGTCACTGTCCACTCTGTTCCCTTGTTATAGTGCAAAGCATCCTGGCTAGTTCACAGATCTCAGCCAAGGGCTAAGGGCCTGACCTTGTCACAAGGAGTGCACGGCCAGAACAGGGAGAGCCCGATGACCGAGAGCTGTGGGGCAGCCGGCCCTGAGCACAGGAAGGGTAGGCCAGGGATTTCTCTGAAATTCCCAAAGTCACAGCCAATTAAATGGATATCAAGGAAACAGCACATCCAAAATAGTATAACCATCTCTTTGATGCACACAAAGTCTCCTTTTTGTGATTTTTCTTTAGGAAGTTGAAGTCAATAGATTGTCATTAAAAAAGGCAATACTGAGAGGCAGAGCTGCAGAGGGGAGAATGCACTTCCGAGTCAGATAAGTCTCTTGAAGCCTCAGTTTTCTCATCTGTAAAATGATGGCAATGGTGTCTACTTTGCAGGTGGTTGTGAGGATTAGAAAGAGTGAAGGTGCCCAGTGTATGCCTAAAGCACAAGGGATGCTGGGTAAATGGCAGCTGCTAGCAATGATCATGCAGCAGTATAGCCTAGTGGTTAGAGCATGCCAGACCTGCATGTAAGACTGGCGTTACCACTCAGTTTCCTCATCTGTAAAATAGAGATGATGACAGACCTACCTCATAAGATTGTTTGGGGCATCAAACAAGGTGGTTCCAGCTAATAAGTACTGAACACTCCCTGTAGCCAGGCACTATTCAAAGCACTCTCTGTGTATGAACTCACTCACTCCTTTCCATAACTCTGTGAGGTAGGTGCTAGTACTTTCCTCATCACATGTCTGAGGAAACTGAGTCACAAGTTAACTGACTTGGCCAAGGTTATTCAGCCCATTAATGGTAATGCTGGTATTTGAACACAAGCGGTCTACCTCCAGAGTCCACCTGCCTCACCATTACTCCAGGATGTCAAGGTTCTAGCACAGGACCTGGCACCAAAGAAGTCCCCAGTAAACATCAGCTATTGTGATTGTTAAATAATAACAATAATAATTTTAAAAAACATGCTTTGGCAGCTGCATTGGGTTAAGCAGTTTGACTAAACCCTTAACTTTCAGGAGGATTGAGGCTGGGTCTTACCCATCTTTGTATCCAAGATTACTAAAAGCACAGTGCCTAGCATAGAATAAGGGTTCAGTAAGTGTTGTTGATGAATGAACAAGTTTTTCAAACTGATATTCCTACTAATATACAACACGGTGGCCCTTTGGCAGAAGGCTGGTTCTGACGGAGCCGCAGGTGGACTGGACCATGTTGACACACTTTGCCCAAGACTTTCCTTCCCAGGTCACTAAAGGGCCTGAGTCTCATAAACATTTTAATTGGTCTGCTCTCATTACATAATCTCCATTCACTGACTCCACCTCTCTCATCACCCAGTTCCAGATGGCTACACCCAAATCCCTGACCCTCTCCCTCTACACACACCCCTGGCCCATTACACTATAGGTTTTTCCCTTCACGAGAAGTTTCCCTTTCTATCGTGCACAAGGTTGATCCATTCTCTGTCTGTCAGTCTTGTGCCTGCTCCCTGGATGACTCAGACATCCCAGTTCACCCAAATCTCCATGACTCTGAGTATCAAAGCTGTTGAATTCCTCATTTCTTATCCCTGGGCAATCAAAGCATCCAACCTAAGATAGGGCTCTGCAGCTGCAGAGGAGGAGTAGCTCAGGACTTCCTCCTCACCAACCCCTGTGAAGTCATCCTCTGTGGGTATTGACACAAACCTCCTTGTGCCCTTGGACAGAGACCTGGCACTTGCTACTCAGCAGCCTGGGGCTCTCTAGGCTTCCCCAAGAGCCCAGAGACGGGCCCAGCACACACATACACATAATCTGCACCAGGCTTTGTCATACAGGGAATTCTACACAAAAGGCCTGAGCCCTTAATAAAAACAAGTTGTGGGCAGATCTGGCCTCCCTGGGTTAGACTGGAGAGTCTTGTGAGTGAAAGCTGTACTTGGTCTCTTTCCCTGGCTAACAAGAATAATAACTTCCTGAGTGTGACCCAAGTCAGGTATACAGATATGCGTGCCAAGAGGCTGAGAGCTGGCCTACGCGTGGACGCAGGGTGGGGGTGAGGGCCAGGAGCAAGTTTGGCCCTGGGTGAGGCAGAACGCCTCTTCCTGCTCCCTCCAGTATGTGACTCATTTCCAGGTATCAGTTCCCTTAAGATCCCATCTCCCCTCCCACTCTGCCTCCTCCTTCTGCTTGCTCCTTTCGCCACCTGCAAATTAACTTCGATTTGCCTTTTCTCCATACATATTTTTTAGCTTTTCTTCTACTAATGTAGCATCCACTCCCTATCTGAAAAGCCAATCCCTCATTTTCCCCCATCTCCTAACTCCTTGGCCTTAGTCAGGCCTCCAGGCCCACTGAACATGTGACAACTCGAAATTCAAGGTCATTTTACTTTGGCTGCCATCTTGCTCTGGCCCCATCACCCATACCACCACTCAGATGCACATTTCCCTCCCATGTGCACATCTTCATTAAGACCATTCTCTGTGCTCAGAAAGGACACTAATCAGTTTGTAAGTTTTCTAATTACTTGGCCCCGCATCTCATTTCTATCTTGGACCAGACAGTTTCCAGCCAGGCTCTTAGGAATATTCTGTTAGGTTGTCTGATCTCAGAAGAAGGAAAGGGTGCCAGGTCCTGGCAAGTGTGTGATTTCTATCTCAGAACCATCCTCTGAAATAAGCCCAGAGATGTGAAGCCTGATAAGACATTTTTCCTAGACAGGGTTTCCTTCCAAATGTTCCTTGGTGGGAACTGTGTGACAAGACTGGGACAAGAATGGTTCAGAGGGATAATACCTGAGCCATTACACTTTTGGGTCTTTCCACAGGGCCCTTGCACTTCCTACCTGTGCACATGACAGCGGCAAAGACCCAGCACTGCCCGTAGCGCACTGGCTGACAGCCTGTGGCGTGCCACTGTTTCAGGATGGCCACGCTGCCAGTCCATTCCGCAGGGTTGATGCCATCCAAGTAATTCTCACTCCAATTTCCATTGAGCACCCCATTGTCATCGTTGCTGTTGATCTGAAGAGAAGCCACATATAGGAGCATTAGAAACATCCTTTTCCTCAGTGAGATGTGCTGTGTGGGCTGCAAGGCCCATGGGCCTAAGACACAGAGGAGTCTTTGATCCCATTTTACCTGGGAACTTCAAGAACTGCTGGGGAAGGGGTGGTGGTGGGAAGCTGGCTAGTCTGACTTATGCTTCACTAGTAATTAGTTTATTATTCTATTTCTACCCACCCCTAAACCCCCTCATCTCCCCATCCCCTGCAAAGCTAGAGCTTGACTCTGAGAGCTTTTAAAAATACTTCAGAGCAAAGGAAATTTAGAAACAAGACCATTTTCCAAACCAGAGCTAGTCTCAGCCTTTTCCAAAACATGCAATTTGGAATTAATAGAGGTGATGGCCCAGACCCAGCTATTTCAGAGCTCAGGTGAGAAAACCTGTTACCCACGTTCTTTCATCAGTCTCATCCCAAATCACTTTACCAGAGAGCCCCTATCTCTCAACTCCTCATTCCCCCATTGCAGGAGGCAAGGTGAGTGGGCAGGGCTCCCCCTGCACAGCTTCTTCCCTCCCTGGACACACCCTGTGTGGGCAGAGCCAGACCCAACCTCACCATGGCGCACACCACTCTGCTGATGTAGACAGGGCTTCCTCGCAGAGCACAGTCTGTGGCTGGGTCAATCTGGAAGTGCAGGCTCTTGTCTAGCAGCTCCAGGCAGATGTCTATGATATTCTCTTCAAACTGCAAGGGGAGACGCAGGGAGGCAAGGTAGCCGCGCGTGGCACCCATGTAGATATGGAAAGAAATACGTGACTCACCCCACCCAGCTCTCCAATGGAGTGTGTTTGTGGAACATAACCCCATTTGGAATGTGAGTGTATTCAGTAGTGCAGCCCTGAACTGCCTCCCAGGCAGGTGCCGGGTCTCAAACCTCTGGGGTCATAACTCACCCAGTTTGTATGTGCTGCAAGTCCCGGAGTTTTTTCCAAAGTCTGACTGGCTGAAAAGTCTATTTCTCCCTCTTCTCCCCTCAAGCCCCATGCTCCTGGAGCCCATGGGATGTTCTTGCTAAAACCACGTTGCCTCATCTTCCACCCCCATCTGCTGACCCAGCTCATCACTGACAGTTACTGCTGAGGTGATGGCGCCCACTTGCCATGGCGCCCATGATCCAGGGGGGCTCTGGACTGACTGATAGCATGCGAGTTGTGGAAACTTCCCACTCAAGGCAGGCTGACCCTTGGTCCTTCCAGTTTGGCGTGAACGCCACTTCCTCTGAGGCCTTCCTTGAGCCCAAGCTTGGTTTAGCTCCATAGCCCTGGCTATGTCTCTCTTCTCATCAGACTCGGTTGTAATGATGTAACCAAGTTCTGTCTTCCCTGGCTGAGTGTATTCTCTGTCTCTCTCCAGCTCTTCTTGCAACTCTACATCCCAGACCTGGCACAGTGCCCAGCACATAGTCGGGACTCCTTGCATCTTTGCTGAATGAGAGTAAACGAATGCATTTATTCCTACATAACAGTGGGCAATAAACAGGATTAGGAGGCCTTTCTGATCCATCTTCCCCAGGGGACAGTTTAGTCAGGTCACTTTTCTGCTTTAGAATGTTCAAAGGTCCCTATGGCCCACAGACTCAAAGCTCTAACCTCTTCTACAAGGCACATAAGACCCTCTCTGATCTGGCCCCCTTCTGCCTCTCCAGCCTCATGTCTCAATACCCACTGCCTCACCATTTTTGCTCCAGCAACACCAGATTCCTTATAACCCCCTCAGCAAGCCAAACCATTTCTCACCTTTGTGTCTTTGCTCATGCTTCCTTCTGCCTGGGATATTTTCCCCCACCTTCCTTCACTTGGCAAACTCAGGTCAAGTATCTCCTCTTCCAGGAAGCTTCCCTGACAGGCCCATGCCAACCAAGTGCTCTTCCTTCTGGGCTCCCCAAACACCCTTGCCTGTCTCTCAATCTTCACATATCCCACTGCATGATAAGTGGCCTTGTATGTCTGAGTCCCCACTACACTGTGGGCTCAGGGACAGTGCTTTATTCATGTTCATATCTCTAGCACCTAGCACCCTGCTTGGAGCCGAGCAGGCATTCACTATACGCTCAGTGAATAAGAGAGGCTGAAAGGGAGGGACCCAGGGCTCAGAGAGCAGCAACCTCTCACTTCCATTTCTCACAGAGGACAGCAAGCTTCTGTCTGGGGCTCTCCAGGAACCCCATCTGCCCATGCTGAGTGAGGAGTTGGGGATGTCAGTTGGGGCCAGTTGAGGCTGCCATGTCTCATCTTGATTATAGCCACCCTGGGGACCTGGGCTGCACTGAGGCCATGTGTATTGGAGTTCTATTTGGGCAAGTCCAGGAAAGGAACCCATATCAACCCGATACAAGGCTCCACGAGCACCCCCAGGATTTCCCAGCTGACACCCCTTCTGAGCAGCCATCGCTGGTCCTCTCCCCTGACAATATTCCTGGTACTGAGGCTTAGTCTCGAGAACCCTCTTCCCTGGCCTGGTGCTGGAGCTCCTGGGACGCCTGCTGTAGGCTGAGCTTCAAGGGGGAGGCAGGCTTTTAGTAAGGCAGGAGTTGTGGAGCATTGAGATTAATACGATGCTATTTTTACAAATAAAATCACATGTTTCATAATATGTGTAGGAAACAAAGTGTAAAGGAACATACACCACGCTGGTGACGGTGCTTAGGATGACCTTCACATTCTAGGTGTTCATTTTTGTAACGTTTCTTTGTAAAGTTTTTAAAACAACCATGTATTACTTTCATAATGAAAAAGATATATAATCAAAACAAACAAATAAAGAGGCAATAGTGATGGGCAGGGAGGTGCATTGCTGCTCATCAGCCCTGAGACGTTCAAGGATAAGTTTTCCTCAGGTGACAGGACTGATCGTTCAGGGACAAGTTTTCCTCAGGTGACAGGACTGATTGTAGGGTCTGTGGCCTGGGGCGGTGAGGAAGAAATGAAGAAATGGCAAACGGGGCCCCACTGGAAACAGTTTAACAAACAAAAACATAGGCACCATCCTTGCGGTTGTCACTGTAGTCCCTTCATCTCCACCCTCAGACTCATGGAATTCCTGGGTGGGTGCCTTTAGCTGCCCTTCCCTTTCTGATCCTGTTGTCCAAATCAGACATGATCAATAAAGAACACCTTCCAGCTTTCCATGGCTGCTCCTCTAGGGCCCTAGGGTCGCATCTCACATCTTCCTGGTGCCGTTTAGCTCCAATTTGTCAGCAGTACGAGGGGCACCCTCCTACCCTGCCCCCGCTCCCCTCTCCCCATGAGCCCAGGGCCTCGATGGGCCATAAGCAGGGCTGAGACACACCTGTCCGTAATTCCAGGGGCACGGGCGGATCCAGTTCTTGTTCCCTTGGTAGATGAAGCCGTAATCATTCACGACATACTCCTGCCTCTGGGGCTCACTGTCCAAGTAGACAGCGTCCCCTAGGAATCAAAATAGGAGGACACAAAGCAGAAAAGTCATCTCGCCCTTTCTGCCCCATTCCCAACCCCAGAAGGCACAGTCCCACGGAAACCAAGCCCTGGGGAGAGCACCGGGTGACACCAAGAGGGGCAGGAGAGGGGGGTCTTGGAGAGACACACCTTCCACCATGCCCCCACAACAGCCACAGGCTCAAAATGCACATGAGGTGGAAGAGCAAAAATCCACCTTTGGTGGAATTTCTTGGTTTCAAAGCACATATACGTCCTAGCCCCATTTTAAGCTTGAGGAAACAAATTCAGAGTGATAAGTAACTTTCCCTATTCACACGTTAAGAACAGAGTGAAATTTGAACACAGAGGCCACGTGTCTCCATATTCTGTGCTCTATCTGCTATATTCAAATAATTCTGGTTGGAAAAGAGCAAATCGGAACTTTAGAGGTTGGCGTTGACCTCATCATTCCTTTTATAGGAATTTAATCTAAGGAAACTTTTTGGAAGGTGCACAAAGATTTAGATAGCAAGTTGTTCATCTGAGGGCTGTTTATAGCACTGAAAAGCTGGAAACAACCTAAACGCCCTGTTCTTAGGCACTGGTTAAATAGTCTTCAGTGCAACTTCACCACAGAATTCTCTACACTATTGAGCTAAGGGAGCAAAATTGCATACATAGACATAGAAATGTACACGCATAGATGTAGAAATCTACTTGTGATATATTAAGTTTAAATAGGTTACATAACAATGTGTGCAGCATGAATTGACTTTTGTTAAAAATATACATACATATATGAACAGAGGATTTTTGAAGGCTATTCTAAAAGGTGTTAATAGTAATTGTTTTTTTCCTTCTTCTTTTTGCCTGTTGGTATTGTCTAGATTGTCTGAAATAAAATTGTGTTTTATGATATAAAAAATTATCTTTTTAAAGTTAAGAACGAACAAACAAAAAGCCATGGGGGTAGGTGTCCTCTTTGCAGTGTCCTGGAACTGTCTGGAAGCCCTGCCTGACCCTGAGGTGAAGCTGCCCTCCTCCCTTCTTCAGAGGCAGCCTCAGACACAGCCTGAGGGGTCGCTGGTGGAGGAGGACTTCTTGCTGAGATGCATTATATTGAGGTTTTGGGCCAGTGTGGTGAGAGCTGCAGGTTCATGGTTGAAACCACACACATCCCTCCTTACAGACCAGGCCAGCAGTGGCCTGAGCTCCAAGGTGGGGCTCCCCAGCCAATATCCTGGACACGGTGATGGGGCAGATGCTGATTCTGACTTCAGCCCCTACTGATCCCTAGCCTATCTGGTCTCCCTGGGACCTGGGTGGGGCACAAGCCTCAAAAGAGAAGGCCCCACAGATATCACTTTCCTCCCCACAGCTTAGGGGGGCCCTCAGTTCAAGTCTGAACCCCACAGTCTGGGAGGCCAGGAATGGTGTGTGTGTGTGTGTTTGTGTGTGTAAGAGAGATACAGAGAGAGACAGAGACAGACAGACAACTGTTCTTGATCGCGTGGCAGGGCCTCTTCACTTGGCTGATGAGTACGAGTTCTGAGCCATTCAGTGACAGGGCGGTGGGAGGTGGTTAGAGATGTTAGAACCCAGCCAAGGTTCTGGGATCTGGCACGACCCAGTAGGCCCTCTTGGGATAAGTTTGGGGGAGAAGGAAGATTGAGAGGGACGAAGGAAAGGGGAACGTCCTCTAAGTCAGAAGTAAGACTGTTGAGTCTGGCCTCTGCCTCAAAGCCCCCATCAGATCCAGTCTCTGCTATCAACTCTTCCTGCCCTTCCTCCCACTCTCTCCTCCTGGCTTGTCCTTCATTCTGCCCACACCTTGTCTGTATGTCCATGTAATTATCCCTGCCCCAGGTAGATTTAGAGGACGGGAATTGTGGGACAGGTGGTGCTGGGATATTCCCTGTAGGTTTGTTTGTCTAAGACAAAAGCTGGAAATAGCCAAAATGCCCATAAGTAGGGGACTAGTTAAATATATTTGGGGCATCCAAACAGTGGAATAATTGTAGCTGTTAAAAAAAATGTATTGATAGGAAAATATGTCCAAAGTTGAATTGTTAACTGAAAAAAACAAGTTATAGCATGCTATAGATTATATAATCCCATTTGTGGTATGATTGTATAGTCACACACACATATACATATATGCATAAATACATATTTGATTAAGCATGGAACATTTTTGTAAGGCTACACGTGAAAATGTTAACAGGATTTCCTTTGGAGGATGGAACTTGGAGATTGAGGTAAGGTTTTACTTCACTTTATGCTTCTCTCTTTTTTTTTTTTTGGTTTTACCTTTTACTTCATTCCACAAATATTCAATGCAATGCACTTATTCTTATAAGGAAGAAATTAGAGTTAACTTAAAATTGTATGATAAAAGTAGATGTTAACTGTGGTCAAACTTAATTATAATAGTTTTCTTTTTAAGTATAGATGACTTGGCTTATAATTTAAAAATTCTAAATAAGTAAATAAATAGCAAGTTCTCCCTGCCCTGCTTGTTGCTGGTTGGGAGTGGGTGCTGAGTGCATGGGATTGGGAGGTTTACAGGTGGCCAGGGAACAGGGATCTAGAAATCCTTGAGCATGGTTCTTTGTGACACTGACAAAGGGGCAGAGACGAGGGACCCTCACATGGGCACCCCGCCTTACCTGGGCACCAGGGATTGAAGAGCAGGATGAACTCCCCGAGGTGGTAGGCCACGACAGACCCCTGGAGGGAGTCAATGTGAACCTTCAAGAGATATCGACCTATGGCCGCTGAGGGAGGGGCGCACAGGCTCACCTCCAGGGAGGTGGCCCCGTTGGTTTCCAGCGAGGCTATCCAGGGGCTGGACTCACGACGACCTGCCAGGCTGAATATAGCCCGAGTCCCCTTGGCCAGGTCTGGCAGCGGTCCTGAGAGGGAAGCAGAGCTGAGGCCCTCTGTGGTGACCTCTTAGCCCCCAAGAATACCCCCCAACATGCGCAAGCACACACAACAGCCGGGGTCCTCACCAGTCTCAACCACGAAGATGATGTTGTCCAGGCCTGGCTGGAAGCCCCGGTTCCTGAAGTACAGAGTGATGTTGAAGGCCTGGCCCCGGCGAACGAGGAGGCGCTCAGAGCTGATTTCCTCTGTGTGGTGTTGCACATTGTTCCAGGAGCTCTGGAGGTCTATGAAGGCCACCTCCAGCTCTGCGACAGGGCAGCCAGGGGCTGACAAAAGGGCAGGGTTGTGGAGCCTGGTCCAGTCCTGTCAACCACTCATTAGTTGTGCAAACTTGAGAAAGAAACTTAGCCTCTCTGAGCCTCAGTTTCCAAGTTGGTAAAAAAGAATCCATAATACCAGCCTTACAGGGTTGGTATGAGGATTAAATGAGGCTCCATGCATGCAAGTGCCTCTTTCTTACTTCTTTCCTCTTTTCTCTCCCTGCTCCTCTAACCCTCTATCTCCTTCTCCCTTATGGCCTCCTGGAGGTACATGGTTTTCTACCTCTGTACAACTCCTTTTGTAGGCCTGGCCAAGTCTGATTACTCCTTGCAGCCTAACATGTCTCCAGATTCACCCCAGCATCCACTTTCTTGGGCTCGAGTTAACAGTTTCACTTGCCCCTGTACTAGCCTCCAGATCTGGGTGCAAGTCCCTGGGTTAGCTGCCCCTGGGTACTATCCCGGATTAACTGCTATGCTTTTAGCAATTTGCTGGCTCTGACTACCATGCCGTGTGGCCAATGCCCTGGGAGCTGGGATGCTTAGGACAGTCAAAGAAAGGTCCACCCCCAGCCTTCTGGAGCTTCTGCTAAAATCGATTGACCTCACTGTTCTCCAAGTGTGCATCCCTGACATGGGCTCCATTTCTGACTTCTCCATCTTTGACCATGGTCCTAGCATGGTCCCCAGGTACCTGGGCTCACAACTTTTAATCACAGTTGGTTCACCTACCTCCTTCTCAGTCTATACCCATTCGTGTGTCATCAAGTCCCTTCGCTCCTTCCATTAAAACATCTCTGGTATCCGTCTGTCCCTTTTCATGTTTACATAATTCTGATCTCCTCACTTCACACCTAGTGACTATAACAGCCTCCAGCAGGTCTCCTGCTTACTGTCTCTCCTCACCACCCACCCCTTAACCCAGCACAAGAATATCTTTCCTCAAGACAATTTGATCATGCCATATTTTTGCTTTAAAAGTTCTGAGATACCCTGCAGCCCACCATACAAAAGGCACACTCCTTAACCTGACACCTATTACCCTCCATATCTGGCCTTAACTTACACTTGCATTCTCACTTCTCACCACTCCTAGCATGAACCCTCTCCTCTAGCCAATCTGTCCCAAAGCAAATTATAGCCCTACCTATGGATGTATTTTGATCCTGCTGTAGCCCCCAACTCAGAATGCTTCCTCACTATCTAACCAAATTCCACCTGTCCTCCAAGGTTTGTTTACGACCCAACTTTTTCATGAAGCCTACTCCAGTTGGCCCACCTTTTTTCCCATCTCCCATTGAATACAGCATTTAACTTCATCACTCATAGGGAACTTTAAGTGCTTAATTGAGTTAATATCATGCTCATTTGTTCATTTATTTCAACAAACTGTTACTGAGAGCCTACTAATTTCAGCTTCATCGTGAGATGTTCAGATATTTTTGTAGTTATTTTTTTATTTGTCTGTCTTCTACCACTAGGTGTAAGCCAATGACGATAGAGACGTAGCTGTTTTGTCTCAGCTATATCTATATTTTAAGAAATATGAACCAAAGCATTGGACAAAATCCCACACCTTTTCATAATAAAATACTCAACAAATAAATTGTCCTTAAGAATAGAAGGCAACTTCCTCAACCTGATAAAGGGTGTCTATGAAAATTCCACAGCTAAAACCATAATTAATAGTGAAAGACTAGTTGCTTTCCCTCTAAGATCAGGAAAAAGACAAGGTTGTCCACTCTTTCCCCATCTATTCAGCATTATACTGGAGGTTCTAGCTGGTATACATCAGAAAGAAGAAGTAAAATTATCTCTATTTACATACGACATGATCTTGAATGTAGAAAATCTTAACAAATCCATACACAATTAGAACTAGTAAACAAGTTCAGCAAGGTTGTAGAATACCATAGAAATATAAAAAACTAATTGTAGTTCTATACACTTGCAATGAATAATCTGAAAATAAAATTAAGAAAACAATTTCACTTGAAATAGCATCAAAAAGAATGAAATATTTAGCAAAATAACAAACTGAACAAAATAAAGTTCAACAAAAGTGCAAAACTTGCACCACAAAAAAACCCTCAAAATATCATTGAAAGAAATTAAGGAAGACCTAAATAAATGGAAAAACATCCCATGTTCATGGATTAGAAGACTTAATATCATTTAGATGACAAATTGATCTACAGATTCAACACAATTTCTGTGAAAATCCCACCTGCCATTTTACATAAATCGACAAGCAGATCCTAATATTCATATGGAACTACAAGGGATTCAGAATAGCAAATAATTTATAAAAATAAAAACAAGATTAGAGGGTCCACACTTCCCTATTTTGAAATTTACTATAAAGCTACAGTAGTCAAGGCAATGCGGTACTGGCATAAGCATAGACATACAGATAAATGCAATAGAACTGAGAATCTACAAATAAATGCTCACATTTACAGTCAGTCGACTTTTGACAGGGGTGCCAAAGACAATTCAATGGGGAAAGAATACTCTTTTCAACAAATGATACTGGGATAGCTGGATAGCCATAACTGGAAGCAAAAGAATAAAGTTGGACCCCTACCTCACACCCTATACAATAATTAACTCAAAATCAACCAACGACTTAAACTTAAGAGTTAAAACTACAAAACTTTTAGAAGAAAATAAGGGTAAATCTTCATGATCTTAGACTAAGGAACGGTTTCTTAGATATGACAACACAATCAGAAGCAACGGGAGAAAAAAAAACCTTACAAATTGAACTTCATCAAAATTAACAACTTTTTGCTTCAAGGACCCCCATCAATGAGGTGAAAAGAAAACTCACAGAATGGAAGAAAATATTTGTAAATCATATATCTGATAAGGAATTTGTATCAAGAATATATAAAGAATTTGTACAACTCAACAATAAAAAAAAATAACCCAAATAAAAAATGGGCAACTGATCTGAATAGATATTTCTCCAAAGAAGATATGGAAAAGGCCAATAAGCACGTGAAAAGATGTTCAACATCATTAGTCATTAGGGAAATGCAAATAAGATACCACTTCTGGGATGGTTATAATAAGAAAGAGAGAAAATAACAAATGTTATTAAGGATGTGGAGAAATTGGAACCCTCACGCTGGTGAGAATGTAAAACGATGCAGCCACTTTGGAAAACAGTGTGGAAGTTCCTCAAAATGTTAAAGGTAGAGTTACCATATGATCCAGCAACTCCACTTCTAGGTGTATACCCAAGAGATTGAAAACATATGTTCACACAAAATCTGTACATGAATTTTGATAGCAGCATTATTCATAATAGTCAAAAATGAAAAAATCCAAATGTCCATAAACTGATTAATGGATAAATAAATGTGGTATATCCATAAAATGGAATATTATTCAGCCATAAAAAGGAATGCCGAGGGGCTGGCCTAGTGGTGTAGTGGTTAAGTTCACATGTTCTGCTTCGGTGGCCCAGGGTTTGCCAGTTCAGATCCTGGGCGTGGACCTACTCACCACTCGTCAAGCCATGCTGAGGTGGCATCCCACATAGAAGAGCTACAACTCTACAACTATGATATACAACCATGTCTTGGGGCTTTGGGGAGAAAAAAGAAAAAGAGGAAGATTGGCAACAGATGTTAGCACAGGGCCAATCTTCCTCAAAAAAGAAAAAAGTTAGCTTTAAAAAAAAAGGGAATGCTGAATATACTATAAGATGGATGAAACTTGAAAACATTATGCTAAGTGAAATAAGACAGACACAAAAGGCCAAGTATTATATGATTCAATTTATATTAAATATATAAATAAGCAAATCCATAGAGACAGAAAGTAGATTAGGGTTTGCCAGGAGCTTGGAGTCGGCGGGAATGGAGTGTAACTGCTAATGGGTATGGGGTTTCTTATAAAAGAACCCCAGCACATTGTAGGTACTAAAAAATGTTTCCTAGGTTGAATAGAGTTCTCTGTCTTTTGCATAATAACCTGTACTCATTTCAGATTTTAGATTTAACCAACACCTTATTGAGGGCTTGTCTATTATGTGCTGGGCGCTATCCTAGGCCTCTAGGACAGTTATCTCATTGAATCCTCACCACAATGTTGGAGGGATGAAATGTCATGTTATTCACACTTGGAGATGAGAAAAGCAAGGTTCAGGTAGATTAAATGTCTTGCGTAAGGTTGAACCTAGGGTTACTGGCCTAAATCCTGTGCTTTTTCCATTACCCACAAGCTGCCACCCATTGCTGGCCTTCACTCATGTTCAGAAAGGACACCTGACCCACTGCCAGCTGGGAAAGCACTTGCCTTTTTCCTGGTAGTGGAAGAAGAAGCTACCCCTTTTGGAAGCCAATTGACTAGACATAGATTTTTTACTGGCCCCAATTCAGGCTGGGAACATGACCCAGACTACTCAGCAGGTGTGGCAGCATCTGGCTGACAGCAAGCACTGGCCAAATCTCATCCTCTGGATACATTATGGGTCAAGTTAATCTCTGCCTATAACACAGGGATATCCTTCAGCCCAGACACCAGATATTCAAATAGGAAATACATTTAATATTGGGCATATTTGTTCTCTTTGATGTGAGAGGAGAAGGGGGTGAAATAATCAGAGAGGTATAAAGGAAATTACAGGAAAAACTTTATAAGTAATTGATCTCAGTATCTACCCCAGAGAGACTCTCCCACATGAGCACAAAGAAGCATAGATAAGAATGTACACTGCAACATTGCCTGTATAATTGAAAAATGGGAAACAACCTAAATGCCCATTAATAGGGGACTTGATAAATAAATTACAGTACTTATACCCATACTATGGAATACTATGAAAAGTGGAAAATATTAAGGTAGATTTATAGGTACTGACTGGCATGGATAGAGCTCCAAGACATATTGTTGAGTGAAAAAAATCAAGTTCTAGAAAAATATGTATAGTGTGATGATACCATAGGTATCCTGCCCCACCCCCAAAACAGCCACACATGCTACTCCCATGTATTACATTGAGGATATATACATATACACACACACACACACACACACTATATATATATAGGTATATAAATGTGTAGACAAAAGACTAATAATGATGGTTTCTTTGGAGATGATGCTGGGTTGGGAGTGGCAGTCAGAGGACAGTAGCTTTATCCTTAATTATTGTTTTATTTTACTCCAACTATGTATTCATATATTTCTTGTGTAATTAAAAATTATAAGAACTTAAACACAAAAAATAGTAAAAGAAGGGGCAGCTGTCACATCTGTAGAGCTTTTAGCTCATTCTTATAAATGGTTTCAACTAATCATTTACTCTTCATAGCAGCTCTTTCTAGAGAGAGGGAGTTGATATAGAGAGAAGAGTGGTGGTGGGAAGATTAGCTAAGATAAGGAACAGACCCTCTGAAGTGGGGGAAGAAGAGAAGATATGAAGATTTAGAGAATTTTAGAGCTGGAAGACAACTTCAAGATTGTCTGGTCCAGCCCTCCTCATTTTTCAGGCATGGGGGCTGAGAACTAAGAAGTGACTTGTTCAATGTCAAAGGGTCAGCTAGTGGCAGATAAGACAGGAACCCTGACCCCCGAATCCCTGGCCCTGCCCTGTGCCACTGGGCTATGGAAGCAGGCACGTCAGCACACAGCTATTTGGCTGTTTACCTGCTGGCCTCCACCTTGTCTCCTGGTTCTCAGGCTACCAACAAATGTTGAGGTTTCTGGAGTTTCTACTCTTTCTTCCTCTGTTCTTTACTTACTCCTTTCTTCCTCTGAATCCACCCTCCCCTTGACTTCCCATAGTCTCTCTGTCATCCTTGTCCCTGCTCCAGCAGCCCCTGGGCCTTGCTTACCTTGCGCCATGGGGGCTGCCTCTGGATTCCGGACTGTTCCCCACAGAACAGCTTCAGGAAACTCGTCCTGGAGTGTCTGCTTCCCCTTCCATCCCCAAGACTCCAGGAGATACTGAAGGCGGGGCAGCTGCTGCCTTGCCACTTGCTTACTGAGCAGATCACAACTGGTTTTCTCACTTGCCCTCAGGTTTTTCTTGGCAGTGTTGCTTGGCTTAGAGGAAGTATGAAGGCCAATGAACTCTCGGGGCCTTGTGCCATGTGGGCCTTTCATAGCTCTTGGGCAATGGGGCATTCCCTGGCAGGTGCTGTGCTGTGGCCGGGGAGCCATGTGGGAGAGGTGAGCTGATGGGGCCTCTAGAGCTGAGTCCCTGCAGGAAAGAGTATCAGGGCCCCAAGACTACAGCTCACAACCAAGAGAGCCTCTCAAGCCTAGACCTCTGCTTGGCACCTAAGCCCTCTCTTTTATCCTGAAGACTCACTTTCTGGACATCAAATGCAAACAAAACCCACTCTGGATCACCCTTGGTATGATTTTTTGGAAATTATTTTTCGGTGGAGGTATTGCCTTGGGTGAGACTTGCCAGGTCCCAGGCAAATCGCAAATAAAAGCAATAGAGGAAGAACACTTGGGAAGATTCATGGAGGAGTTTTGGAAATAGGTGAGAGGGTGGGAATACCAGTGGAGCGACCTTGATTCTAGTAAGAAAAGTACAAGTCCTTAGAAGGAGCATACAAGGAGAAAAGCAGAGATGGAAGAAGAGACAGAAGGAGGGGGGAAGGGCTCTTCATATGGGGTAGATGGAACACTCTAAAGCACCCCGCACCCATTTCCACCCTGCCTTTCCCTCTTGTGGGACACTTATCCCTGCATCTCTCTGATTTCTGGGTCCCTTGTCCTCTCTCCTCAGGAACCTCAGTCACCAGCTTCCGTCCTCCCTCCTGTATTTTCAACTCCCTCTATCCTCAATCAGCTCTTATAGCGTGCGCATACATGCACATATACAATTCACTGCCTAACACACCCACACCCAACTTCAATCCAAAATGGAACTCCTCCCCTCTCTCCTTCCTCCTGCATCTCTGGTCTTGGTGAATGAGGACACTGCCCACCCAGTTACTCCAGGGGAAACCTGGGTGCCACCTCATACTTCTCCATCTTCCTGACCTCCCTTAGCCCATCAGTTGCTGAGCCCTGTCCAGTCCAACTCCTGATTATCTCCTAAAACTTGTCTCTCCTCTCTGTGCCCTTGGCCTCGCCTTCACTGAAGACCCCGCTTGCCTGGACAACAACTTCTAACCAGTATCCCACCCATCTTTTTACCAAATGAGTCTCCAAAGTGGTTTTTCTGAAGTGCCAATTCAACAGGTTGCTCCTTGTTTAAGATCCAACAGTGAGTAATGTCCAAACTTCTCAACATCACCGCCAAAGCCCTTCAGGGTCTCTCCCTTCCCTCCTGGAGTCCTGGCAGGCAAACCCCTTCAGTTCTCAGATGGAGACCTGCTCTCCTGCATCTCTGTGCTCTCACACGTGTTGGTGTCTCTCTTTCTGAACTGTTGTCCTCTCACTTGTCTACTTTCTTGTATCCAGGCTCAAGCATTGCCCCTCCAGGAAGCCTTCCTGACCCCCTCTCTCTACCATACCAGGTGTTTAGGGACACCCCATTTCGTGTTTCCTATTAGCCTACTCATATCTCGACATTATAAATACTTCCCTCTCTTTCCCCCAGTCCCCCTTGAGAGCATGGCCTGTGTCTTGTTAGTATATCCCCAGTTCTTGATAATAATAGTGGCTAATAGTAAAACCAGCAGTAGAACTAGTAATAGCTTTCAAGTTCCAGACACTGTTTTAGTTCTTTATGTGCATTATCCCACTTATCTTCACACCATCCCCAGGAGTTAGGTAATATTATTGTTCCTATATTACAGATCAGGACATAGAGGCTTAAAGACATTAAACAGTTTTTCCAAGATTGCTCACTAAGCCCTGGTGGAGCTGGATTTTGAACACAGGCGGTCGGGCTCCAGAGCCCTGTGTAAGTGCTTGATGCAGTATCTTGAAGCATGGCCAATTTTCCAGTTCATATTTGTTGATTGATGGAGTGAATGAATTAAAAGATGACCCAGGCATGAACAAATGGGTAAAGGCCTGAACCCACTGCCACATTAGCTGAGATGAGTTAGCTTGGGGAGGAGAAGTCTGGATGGAAGCAGGGCTGTGACCTGCAGGGGAGGGGTACAGAGCCGATCCTGGGACACTCAAGTAGAGAGGTGTGGACTCGCCTGCCATTCCCATGGGCCAGGCCAGCCCTAGTAAGGTGGGAGTGGGGAAACTCCAGACCTTTCTAAAATTCAGAGAGACTAGGATGCTAATCCTGGCCCTGCCATGAATTCCCAGCATGCCCTTAGGCAAGTTCCAGTTTCCTTGTCTGTAGAATCAGGGTCCTAGGCTCCATGGGTGCCCAGGTTTGAGTGGAGGGTGAGGACGTTCCCCATAGAAGATTGCAAAAGGAAGCCAGAATCGGCAGATCCAGGTGGGTTCCTCTGCCTCCCCCCTCTTACCACCCCCAGCAATGGAGAGAGTCACCCAAGAGAGGTGATTAAACTGATCAGAGGACCTCTGCACTTGAATGTACTTCACAATTTACAAAGCTCTTTAGAATACACTTTCTCATTTGATCCTCACAGCAACTCTGTGAGGCAAAGTATGGCCGGCACTGCTATTGTTGTTGTTATCATTTTGCACCTGAGGAAGCCAGGGTCACACTGTGAAACAGCCAAGACTCAGTCCCAGAGCCCTTTGCTTTATATCACACAATGACACTGAATAGCAGGGACCCCAAAACTACCAGCCAAAATGACACATGGATGATGGTGTCTGTGAATGCCACGGGGGATGAGAAGAGCAGTAATCAGGAGATGTAGGTGCTAGCCTGGTTTGTGCCTCCTTGCTCCACAGCCTGAACATTTCTTTTGCCAGAATTGATCTGTGGGCACTAATGCCTGGCCGGGCCGGCTCCACCAGGTTGCTGTGAGACGAGGGGAGGGTGAGGGCGGTGAAGCAGGGTCACTCACGATCTAACGTCAGGGTGCTCCAAGTGTGGTACATGAACCCCAGGCCCCTGGGCGATGTCGGAGCTGGAAGGGAGCTTTGAGATTGTCTAGTTCATCCAACCACAGTGGGGAAATGAAGCCAGACAAGCTTGCCTAGATGAAAAAGGAAAAGAAGAAAACACTACAGAGTACGGGGTTTTAAGCCAATTTTTAGGTGAGGAGAGAGGAAATTACTTGAAAGATTGACAGGGAAGGCAGAGATGGCTAATATCCCCATCCTCCTGGGAGGCCCATTGGAGGCCCAGTAGGAAGCCTGCCCACTGTCCTCCCTCCAGTGACACAAGTGACAACCAGGGAGCTCTGTGCCACCAGAGTGAGTAGACTAGAGGAGCAATGACTAAACAAAGACCAGCACCAGGCAGATGGAGCAAGGTTTCAGATTTCCGCAGGAGCCAGCCCAGGTTCCAGGTCTCCTGTGGGCGGGTGGGGAGCCACCTGCAACACAACAGGGACGCAGTGACAGAGCTCTACAGAAATGCCCAATGGCACTTAATGGGGATGGGCGCAGCCAGCACACAGGGTGGAGTGCAGGTATGCAGGCTCCTGCCCTTCCTGCCCAAAGCAGCTGTGTGAAAGCAAAATAGATAAAAAAAAAAAAAAAACAAAAACAGACAGGAGGAGGTGGAGGAGGGGAAAAGGGTGGTGAGAGGAGCCAAGTGAACCTGTAGAGCCACTGAGCAGGTGAGGAGCGGCAAGGGTGAAGGGCCCACGCCCAAAAACCCACAGGAGGATGCTCTCCTTTTCTGCCTTTCTGGATTTTCTAAATTTTCCATGAGGGATATGTGTCAATTTGTAATGATAACTTTTTTATTTTTTTATTGAGATATAATTGACATACAATATTGTGTAAGTTTAAGGTATACAATGTGTTGATCTGATACATTTATGTATTGCAATGTGATTATCACCATAGCATTAGCTAACACCTCCATCACGTCACACAATTATCATTCCTTTTTTGTGGTGAGAACGTTTAAGATCTGGTCTCTTAGTAACTTTGAAGTATATAATATAGTATTGTTAACTATAATCACGATGCTGTACATTAGATCTGCAGAATTTGTTCATCTTCTACTGGAAGTTTGCATTCTTTGACCAACATCTCCCCATTTCCCCTACCCCCAGCCCCTGGTAACCACCATTCTACTCCATTTCTATGAGTTCAGCTTTTCTAGATTCCACGTATAAGTGACATCATACAATATTTGTCTTTCTCTGACTTATCTCTCACTTAGCATAATGCCCTCAAGGTCCATCCATGTTGTAGCAAATGGCAAGATTTCCTTCTTTCTCATGGCTGAATAATATTTCATTGTATATATTGTAGGGGAGCAGAATTTGTCACCCCAAAATACAGATAGTCCCTGACTTACAATGGTTCAACTAAGGATTTTTCGACTTTACGTAGGTGTGAAAGCGATATGCGTTCAGTAGAAACCGTACTTCAAATTCTGAATTTTGTCTTTTCCCCGGGGGTGGCAATATGTGGCTCCATACTCTCTGGTGATGCTGGGCAGTGGCAGTGAGCCCACAGCTCCCAGTCAGCCACACAATCATGAGGGTAAACAATGAAACACTTACAAGCATTCTGTACCTGTACAACTGTCACCGACTAGTGCCCCGAGGAACTCAAGGGTGGGTTTGGAAGCATTTAACTGTTTTTCCAAGTTGTTTTTTTGTATTAAAGAGACACAACCAGCAAACACCCTGAAGCTTACCAAGCCTCCCTACAAGACCATGATCTTGCCTTATTTTTAATCTCTTCAGGAGGAGATTAAGCCTCATTACCATAATCTGCAGTGTACCCTCCTCTCCCTTTTGAGTTTTCATTCCTCAACTGAAATAAAAGTTCCTGCTTCCCTTTGTTCAGGGACGCCATGACTTTGGAGATGATTCCTCATGGCCTCCTATTTGCTGCAAATACACTTTACTTCGTGAGACAACTTCCACTGGTGTAGAGTCTCATTTATCTCACCAGGAGGCGAGCCCACTTGGTTCGGTATCACGACGGTTCTGTTTTTCACTTTCAGTACAGTATTCAGTAAACCACATGAGATATTCAACACAATATTATAAAATAGGCTTTGTGTTAGATGATTTTGCCCAACTGTAGGTTAATGTAAGTGTTCTGAGCGTGATTAAGGTAAGCTAGGCTAAGCTATGATGTTTGGGAGGCTAGGTGTATCAAATGTGTTTTCGAATTACAATATTTTAAATTTACAATGAGTTTATCAGGACATAACCCCATCATAAGTCAAGGAAGATCTGTATGTCTCTTTGGCATAAAGATTATATTAGGCTTGTTATTTTTAAGGAATAGAAGACATGGGAGAAACTCTAAAAACCAGAAGTTATCCTTTTGAAAGACATTTACAGCTGCAATGGAAATTACATTTGTAAGGGTGTTTCCCTCACTGTACCAAGTAGAAAGGGATGACTAAATCTCTAGAAACTCTAATCAGTGGAGAAGGCAACCACATAAATCAGCATAACAACCTTGCTCTTGTTTATTGTGCTTTTCCTGGTAACCTGCCATAACTGATTGCCCCCATCCCAACATCTTTTGTCTTTAGCCGAAGATGGTATTTAAAGTGATGCTTCAGCCATTTTGGCATGTTACTCAGTTTTCCTGGGTCTTTCCCATGTGTACAGGAGGTATACATGTTGTTAAACTTTTGTTTGTTTTTCTCCTGTTAATCTGTCTTATGTCAATCTGATTATTAGACCAGCCAAAGAACCTAGAAGAGTAGAAGGAAAATTTTTCCTCCCCTACAATATATACCACATCTTCTTTGTCCATTCATTTGTTGTCAGACACTTAGGTTGCTTCCATATCTTGGCTAATGTGAATAATGCTGCAATGAGCATGGGGGTGGAAATATCTCTTCCAGATAGTGGTTTTATTTCCTTCAGATATATACCAAGAAGTGGAATTGCTGGATCATATGATAGTTCTATTTTTAATTTTTTGGAGAACCTCCATATTGTTTTCCATAATGGTTGAACCAGTTTACATTCCCACTAAGTGCACAAGGGTTCCCTTTTGTTTACATCCCCACCAACACTTGTTATCTCTTGTCTTTTTGATGATAACCTTGCAATAATAACTTTAAAAAACACAGTGAGGGCAGGCCCCTTGGCTTAGCAGTTAAGTGCGTGTGCTCCGCTGCTGGCGGCCCGGGTTCGGATCCCGGGCGCGCACCAACGCACCGCTTTTCCGGCCATGCTGAGGCTGCATCCCACATACAGCAAATAGAAGGATGTGCAGCTATGACATACAACTATCTACTGGGGCTTTGGGGGAAAAATAAATAAATAAATAAAATTAAAAATAAATAAATAAATAAAAAACACAATGAAAGGGGGGGAAAGCCTAGAAAGATACATGGCAAAATGATAGCTGTTAAAAAAGAGACAACAGGCCCAAAATGGAGTCACCTGTGCTAAGCCCCAGGCCTGCAAACCAAGACTCAATACCTAACCTAATTGCAGTTTCAGCCTCTCCCAGGAGTAGGACTTTAAACCAATAGGTCTGGAATTTCCTGATCAACACTAGTGAGGTAATCTTCCTGACTAAGACCCCTGCCGTTCCTGGCCCCTACGGGAAGGTGACCTTGCCTGAAACAATCCAGCTCTTTATTTTTATAACTTCCTTGTTTTACCTCCTTCCACCTATTGTCAAAATTGACTACAGTGGAGCCATTTTAAAATGGAGTTGGAGCTGCCTTTCCAGAGTAACTACCTTGCTGTCTTGAACCTTGGACTGGGCCAAACCTTTGAACTGGGCCCAGATGGCAATTGTTTTACAAGCAATTGTTTGAGAAGTCAGCAGAAAAACAGACATTCTGATCACAAAGACTAAGGATTATGGACTTTCTGAAGACAGAATCAATAGTCAATCAATGTTTAGCCAAGACTAGCTTTTGCCTCCAAATCTAATTAAAATTCTTTATAATGCAATCTCCTTTCTTTGCCTTTAAAAGCCCCTGACTTTTACTCCCGAATGGGACACTATTTGGGTTTCTACCTGAATCTGTGTTCCCTGAAAGGCAATTCTTTGATCACAAATAAACACTTTGCCTCTTAGACTGGTTTCTGTTTTTGTAGGTTGACACTATAAAAACCTTCCATTTTGTACAACTCCTTTTATTCCCTTCTCTTTACTAGGTGGGATGCTGCCTGATCCATGAATCATTTAATAAAGCCAATTAGACCTTCTAATTTACTCAGTTGAATTTCTGCTTTTTAACATAGCAGAGATTTCTTCCGGAATGAGGGAACTCTCAGTGATTTTTCTTTTGTGTCTTTTCACTTTTCTGTTCTTTCCAAATTATCTAGAACAAGTACAAATGATCTTGACAACCACAGGAAGAAAATGCAAAAGAGTGCCTCCCTGTCCTTAAAATAACAAAAACAAACAATACAAAGGAAGAGAGGCTGAGGCCAGTTAGGGTGAACAGGTGAGTGAGGGAGTGAGAGGGGAAGATGAGGTCGGGGAAAGTGAGGGCCTGTTTTGGGGGGCAGCCAGCTATGAAGCACTTCCTAGTCATCCTGGGGGGGCCACGCTGAGTGGGCCCTGCCAAGTCATCCCCAAGTTCTCAGGCCAGCAGCCAAGAAGACCTGCTGGGCATCTTCTGGCTGGTCCCCATGGTGTTACAGTTACTGTCCTCCCAGTGATACCAGCTCAAGACAAAGTTGACATAAGGGAAACCATATTGTAGAAAAGAAGCCATATTGTAACTTTGAATGACCTCTGACAAACTAACCCAGCTGGATATGCACCCTCCAGGAGATCTAACTGCTCTGTAGATTTTATGACACCTGCTCGTGCATGTACCTCCCAGCTGCGATAAGATGATAACTTGATAAGGTGATAACTTTGTTTTTGTTGAGTTCCTTAGGAATGTGATGACCCCTGAACAGAAAATCTATGCTGATAGCCATCATCAATGAAAACTGAATGACCTGGTGTGGCACTCCCAGTCTGTAACACCAGAAAGTCAACATTCCTAACCCTCTCCCCTATAACCCATCAGCCTATATAACTGCTGTAAGATTTTGTGCCCCCTTAAGATGGTTCTTTTGGACATGAGTCAGCCATCTTCCCTCTTCCTAGCAAGCTGTAATAAAAAGTCCTTTTTCTCCTACCACATTGCCTCTTGACTATTGGCATGTCTTGCAGTGAGCAGAAGGCCCCACGTTGGGTGGTAACACCAGTACATCCAGGCTGCTCTCCCTAGACCTCCCTCCAGCCTCTGCCTGCAAGTTCCCTAAGACAATTTAAATGGAGACTTGGGATCCTTGATTCCAGAGAGACTGATTTAGAGGGGATCATATTGGGCTTATTTTGTGGTTGGGGCCCTTAAAGGAGGAGAGAGAAGACAGGAAGAGCAGGGAGGGCAGCCAGGCCAAGAGGACCAGCTAGTAGCAATAAGTAGCTTGTTAGCACAGAAGAGAGGAACACCAGTGAAAAAGACATCTTTATTGTGGTTCTAAGAGAGCTTTATTCACCCCCCAGGCAGGCCAGGAAGAGGACAGAGAAGGAGCAAAGATAACACCACACCGATAACACCACACCGTCAGGAATAGAAAAGAGCAAGGTGCGGCTGGGAGGGATCTGGGGAGAGCATAAGGAGGAGGGGCAGGGGAGGGGCTGGGGGGCTGGGAGGGCCTAAGGAAGGTGGGGGCAGGGATCAAGAAGCCCTGGCTGCAGCAATGAAGATGTCCTTGTAGCCCTTAATCTCCTTGACCTCATTGTTGCTGATGAGGACTTGCAGCTGGCGGGGTCCAGGTTTAATGGGGTAGAGGTCCAGTTGAATTTGGATAGTGTGTCCAGGCACCAGAGTCCCAAGGCTGAAAGTCAAAAAGAACCTATTAGAGTCTTGAGGAGTAACTGCTGGGGTGGATGGTCTGGTTTCCCCTCTTGGTTTGTAAGCACCTCACACCGCCAAACACCATGGAGCTCAACCTTCCCTGAGGAGGGTGGGAAGACGGGGGCAAGGAGGCACCATCCAGGAGACTGAGGACCATCCAATGACCCTGTGAGGCACCCCTTATCAGAGACCAGCATAGACAGGTGGATGGCAATGGTACTTACTCATTTGATATCTGCCCATTGATGAGGCCACTTCCCTCCAGCACCATCATGCAGTTACTCAGAGCCACCATTAGGGTGTTGGTGAGAGTGATGTGGACTCCCAGTGCCTTGCCCACCTCAGCCCTCTCAGACACCCGTGTGGAGAGAAGACAGGGATATTGTGAGCAACTGGTCTCATTTCTGCATGCCGATTCAGTAACCTCACTCCCCATCCCTCTGTTGACCACCAGGGACTGCTTACTTAGAGATAAGACCTGCAGTTGGGAAGAGAAGAATGTGAGCTGAGAATGTTCAAGGTAAACACATATCTTGGCCTTTCTTAGAAGGTCTCAGTGCTTCAGGAAGCCACCACCAATCAGCAATTGCTACCAAGTTGAAATCTATTTCCATTCCCACCATCTAGTTCAGGATGTCAATTAGATTTCAACTTAAGTGCCAGCTCCAACCTGTTAGTTGTGGCTAATAGGAATGCTGTGTTAAAAAGGATCCCAAAGACAAATCCAGAGTCAATGAGAGAGAGTCATGATTGATTAGTAGTGTCTGACACAGGCATAGGGTAAGGAAGTGGTGTCATGTGTGCCAGCCAGGTGCCATCAGTAATGTCATTCTGAGGCCGAGGTCACAAAATATGTTAATAGCAGAGTCAGGACCCAACCCAGCTGTCCCAGGCCCAGCCAGGATCTTTCCCCCACACATTCTGTCTTCATATACGTCAGCAGACACACTCTGAGTTTTTCCAGGTGCATTCAGTGCATCACATGTGAGGTCTGTGTTATAGGGCAGCATGGCCTTGGGCTGTGAGTGGGAGGAAGGGATTCAGTCCTACTCACTTCCGGAACCCAGGTGCCCAGCACAGTGCCAGCCAAATGACGGATATTTGGTAAACGAGTGTTGAACTGAAATGAGCTCTGACCACCCAGATCATACAGGGGGCATGTTCTGGCTCAACCAGAGAATCAAAGAGAAGGAAGAACACATTCTGAGTTCTCTGGAATTCAAATGAAAGAAACAAGTTCCTTGTACTCTAATGAGCGTGTCAGAGTAGAACAGGTAGAAATATCTTTGGAATCCAGTGTACTCACACAAATCATCCCTCGGTTCCTTTCCTAAGGGGACCAATGAACTGCCTACTTGGCATCTGCTGTGTTTGTATTGGATCCTGTTGCAACCAGGCCTTTGGGTAACAGGCACCAGGCTGTGTCTGCACTTGCCATTCTGCTCACTGTTTGCCCCACCATGGAGGCTGCCTGGCATCACTTGGCCTGACAGGCTGACAGCATGCCCAGGTGAAAACTGTCAGGTGGCCAGATAGTGTATGACACACAGTCACTCGATACTCATTCTGGGTGGGGTGGGGTGTGCTATGGAGGAATCCACCAGGTACAAAGCCAGGTTGGGACTAGGCCGCAGGCAAGTCTCTCAGAGTGGGAGGGGAAGGTGGGGAAAGGAGGCTTCAGGGGAAGGAAAACCCTGGTAAGAGGAGATGGGGAACATCCCTGCCCTCCTCCATTTATCCTTCCTCCACCTGTATTCCTTCTTTATGCAAAGGCGGTGCCAGTCACTCAAGCCTCTGAACTCAAAATCTGAGGCTCGCCTTTCATTTGTCCCCCTCTTCCTTGTCGCCCCCATCTTATCAGAAGTCACCTTTTGAATTTGGTCTTATGGTCTCTCAAATCTGTCTCCTCTCTTCCATCTCCCAGTCACTGCCTTTCTTGTCTCTTTGCCTCTGCAAAGCTATCTCCTTTCTTAAAATGACTTCATCCCCATCTCGTTTCTCTATACAGTGTCTTCATATGCATCCTCAGCAAAATGTCACCTCCTCTGGGAAGCCTTCATGCCCTGCCCTGTACTTTGCGCAGAGCACGAGAGAACACACCATACTGTGCTTCAATCATCCAATTGGTGTCCAAGGCAGGGACTGTGTCTCATTCACTGCTGGACCCCCAGCCCCTGGGTAGAGTGAGTCAGAGGGCTCCGGGGCCTCATCTCTGTCCAGACACCTTACCTCGATAGATAGGTGGGGAGGCTCCAGAGAGATATCTTTTAGGACCAGCATGGACCTCCCTGTCTCCTCAACCTTGGCAATGCCAGACACACGGATCAGCTTTTCATCTGTCAGCTTGTTTCCATAATTGTTGAAGGGTAGCAAGAGTGGCCACTGTATCTCTAAGCAAAGACAAAAGACATCTTGAGTCTGGGGAGAGGGTCTCTGAGAGAAAGAGGGGTAGGGGGAGGAAATGTGTATGTGTGAGAGAGGGAAAAATAGTTTGTGTGTGAGAAAGAACATGCGTGTGAGACTATATCTGTGTGTGAAAGTGTGTGTGTGTAAGAAAGAGACAGATAGTGTGCTTACCCTGTACCCACTGCCCCCAGAGGTCACTGCTGTTTCACCTGGTGGGATGGCATCAGAGGTACAGCACCTGGCACTCAACCTCCTGCCAACAGCAGCTTCACTGCCTGGTGTGTGTGTGTTTTGGGAGTGCAGGGGGCTCTGTGTTATCTGGCTGGGCCAGCCCAGCTTTGTTCATGGCCCCGAGGCTCCCCTCCCTGTAGGTGCCTTTCCAGGCCTGCCTTATACTCACCCTCCCCAAAATCCAGGTTCAAGTACACTGTTTGCCTCCAGAGGGGCTCCCGGGTACCACCCTTGTGCAGCAGAGCCTGCGCACAGAAGCGCACCACCAGTCTGATGGGACCCTGGGGGTGGGCTCTGTCTGCCACCCTCCGGGCATGCAGCTTCAGCAGCAGGTCCTGGCCCCACTCAGGCGTCCTGGCCAGGTGAAGCTGCAGCTGTGCTGGCTGATCCTGAAAGCCCCTGGACCCCAGAAGATCCAGGAAGGCTGAAGAAGTCCTTCTAGGGCCTAACATTTTCTGGGAAGCCTTCATGAACACAGATCACTCCTCAGTGGATCCTGGCCGAAAGGAGAACCAGGAAAGACATCAGCCAGGAGAGGTCGAGAGGACCAATGACCTTCTTTGGGAAACAAGCCACCTAACAACTCCCAGCTCCTCTCCCGAAGCCCCAACCACATGAATAGCCATGAAAGAAGGCGATAGTGTATCACGGCTGAGAACATGGGGATTGGTGTTGCTGGGTTCAAATCCTTGCTCTAACACAGTCTCTTAATCTCTCGGGGTGCAGTTCTGTCATCTATAACCCAGGGATATCTCCTTACCTCATTGAGCTGTGAAAAATTTGGGTTAAATGAGTTGCTGAATATAAGCACCCCACACTGTTCTTTGTCATCAGTATCGCCACCATCATCACTATCATCATCATCAAAGCCAGAGGCTTCTCTCCCCCACCAGTATCCTCACTTCTAGAATATATGCTCAAGCCTTTCAAACAGAGCTTCATCTCTTGCCCCTGGGGGCTACTCAACATTCAGGCTTAACCCCAACTCATCCCAAACTGTGGACCTCTCTAGAACAGTTACACGCAGCAGAGGTACTGTTCCAAGTATTTTCTGTGTATTTACTCATTTAACCCTCACAACAGTCCTCTGAGATACTGTTGACTCATTTTACAGATGAGGAAGTGGAGGAACAGGGATGGTAAGAACATTTCCAAGCTTACATGGCTAGATCATACTGGGGCCTTGATTGTACTCAGCCTGACTCCACCCTGGCTGTCTCCACAGGGACATCTACTCCCTTCTACAGGCCCGGAAGCCCTTTCCCTCCTTGAACATCCACCTCTCCTCCTGCTGCCGCCCCCACTGCCATAACATAAAGACACCATGATGTGACCCTAGGATAGAGTTGCCAGATGAAATAAAGGACATCTAATTTAATTTGAATTTCAGATAAACAATGAATAATTTTTAGTATATGTCACATGCAATATTTGGGACATACTTGTACTAATGGAATATTTGTTTATCTGAATTTATCTGGAGTTCGAGTTTAACTGGGCACTCTGTATTTTATTTGCTAAATCCAGCCACCCTACCCTGAGGCCACATGGCCAGGGTCCAGGAAAGCCCTAGGAGTTTGCCATGAGGAGGGGGTGATTAGGAGGTGACAGTTTTAACATGGGAGCCATCCCCATTGGGAGGCAATACAAAGGAGGTTATACTGGCCCCCTCCCCGGATCCTCGGGAGCCACGCACCTTCTGGGTACTTGTAGGACCTGGTGATATCCTGGCGCTGGTCTGACCCTACCATCTTGGTGCTGATTACGTTCCCAATGGAACTGGTGTTATGGGCCAGGATTTCCTGGGCCTGACCATCCCTGAACAGCCAAATGACTTCATCGGCGTTCACCTCGGCGTACACAAATGGGGTGTCATAGGCCAGGTGGACCTCCCCTTCCTTGATGGCCTTCACAGAGGCAGGGCCGCAGCAGAACAGCCCTGTGCAGGGAACAGGAGTTGTGGACGGCTAACATGGCTGCTGACACGTGGACCAGGAGCAGCTGCTCATGGCCGTGGAAGTAGGGAAATGGGATGGGGAGGGACAGTGGCGTTAATAACCCTCACCCACAAGTGTCCTCCAGTTCCCCTTAATTCATCTGATCCTCACAGCCACCCTGTGGAGCGGCAGTTATCATCCTCCTCTTCCCCGCTTTACTGGGTCACCCAGCTGTCAATGGCAAAGTTAGACTCCTGACCTGAAATTGTCTTTGCTACAACATCGGGGAGGGGACCAAGTGGGAAAAGCATCGCTCCTTTCTGTCTTCCGGCTCACGTGGCCAGTCACCCTGATCACTCTCCCCATGGAGCCTAGACCCTTCCACAGTGGTCCTCACTCACCGCTGCTGGTTTGCTGGGGAGTGGGGTCTAGAGCCTGCCACCCATTGTATCCTGGCGGGAGATCTTTCCGGATCATCCAGCACTCGTTCCAGACATGGAAATTCCTGCAGACAGAGTAAGGAGACAAGGACTCACATTTTCAGAGTATTTGCCAGGTATCAGACACTATATTGAGTGATTTATATTGCTGTTTCTTCTTTTTTACTTTTTACTTTTTATTTGGAAGTAATTTCGAGCTTACAGTCAAGTTACAAGAATAGTGCAAAGAACACCCGTGTACCCAATTCATCTATTGTTACCCCATTTGCTTAATCATTGGCTTTCTCTCAGTATGGATATAGAGATTATATACATATATTTTTTCTTGTTTTTAGTTCAGTGTGTATCGCCTAAAAATAGGGGTCTTCCCTTACATAATCTTGTACAGTTATCAACCTCATACATTTAATATTGATATAATACTCTTCTAGTTTACTGTCTATATTTGGATTTTGTCTGTTGACCTAATAATGTCCTTCAAAGCATTTTTTTCCACCCAGTCCGGGATCCAGTTTATGATCACACATTGCATTTAGTTGTCCAGTATCCTTTGTCTCCTTTGATCTGGAACCGTTTCTCAGCCTCTGTCTTATTACATTGACATTCTGAATAATCTTTATTTATTTATTTATTTATTTCTACCAGGCCCTAGTTTTGGGCTTGTTGGACGTTTCCTCATGATTACAATCAGATTTGCACTCACAGAATTCTACAGTGATATATCCTTCTTAGACACACCACTGCTGATTGAATTAGGGAGCTTTCAGCCCTCTAGGAGCTCAGAGAGGGAGGGGCTCCAAGGACAGCAGCTAGTTCTCATACAACTCAAAGGGTCTTACCTGGAAAGTGGCTGGAAAAGGACAAACAGGAAGTCAGATTTGGGATAGAGCGGAGGAGAAAAGAGCCAGGAGAAGAGACTACAGATACAAAAATAAAGGGACACACAGAGACACACACATACACACACATGCTTGCAAAGAGGGAGTGAGGCAGGGAAAGGAAGAAGCATGCAGAGGCAGCAAGTCCAGGCTTTGCCCTGACAGGGAAACAGAGAATGGTACAAACAAATAGAAAGACTCAAAGAAGGAAGAGTAAGATGAATATAGATTTTGAGGTCAGATTCAGAGGATGCAAGTCTATTCATTTGGTTGCCGGCTTCAGAATCTTATCCCATCATCTTCTATCTCTGAAATGAGTTTGATATGATGATCTAATTAGCCAGAAGAGCCTCCTGGGTTGGGGATTTATTGTCTGAGCATCAGCAACAATGTACAGGACACTAGTGCCTCAAGGCCAGAGAGAACCAGGTCAGAATTTTTCCTACCCCGGATGGAGCAGAGACCTGTTCAAGACAGTGCCCCTTACCATATTTTGTCTTGTTTCTGATTTGGCAGCATCTCTGCATTTTGGTCATAGTAGGTGTCGATGGTCAAGTTCCCATCCATGTTGTGTGCAGAACAGAAATTGGAAACGATGCGAGTTGGAACACCTAAGCATCTCATTACTAAAAGGAAGAAAAGCATGGAGAATCACTGAGTTCATTTCAAGCAGAATCACTGGTTTCCCATGCATACTTTCTAACTTTCTAGCTGGAGGAGAGAAAGAAAACCAAGATTCTTGCAGATCCATACCTGTAACTCCATTATACTTAGAGCACCACACCCAGGCCCAGAACCCTGCTGCCCACTTGCCCTGTCAATGGTCTCCATCCCACTAGAAGAAAGAAATCATTTGAGGGTCACTTAAAACAACAATTAACAACAACTCAATTTTCATTTAGAGCTTTTACCATTCAGTAACTTTCCAAATTAAAAACAGAGAACCTAAAACATTTGATAATTAGGAAGAAAATTTAAAACTTTAGGCCTATGCTGTGGCCAGTTTCAGAAGACAAGCTGTGTGATCTTAGGTAAGTGGCTTAACTTCTCTGGGCCTTAGTCTCCTTGTAACAAAATGAGGAGTTGGACCAGGTAATTTTCAGTTCTGGAATTCTAGATCTGTAATTATACTGAAAGACAAGGATTTGGAGGAGGTAAGAAAGAAATCAGAGAAGGAATAGAAGGGCAAGATAGACATAGAGATAGGTGGAAGACATCAGAGACAAAAGGAACCTGCATGTACCGAGAAAGTGACCATCTTTGATGAGGCAACAGTACCCTCTTGTGGCTTCTCAGGATAGTGCTACAAAGGCTTTTTAAAGCTGAGTTAAGATTTCACATATCTGATCACACAAAGCAGACATTACCCCACCACCACCATCACCACCACCACCACACACACACCAGCCCAGGGCCAGATGAAATCAAGCCAAGAGCCAAGTGTGACCTTTAGAACACAGGTCTCCACCTCTACCAAAGAGGCAAGGAGTTTAGAAAGAGGTTTATCCCGTCTTCTGCCCAGGAGGAGCAGATGGTGCCTACTGAGGCTGCGGGGAGGATTACAATGCTTCGAAACGTAAAAGGACTTTTGAGAGTGACCAATCTTTTTGTTTCGATTCACTCAAGAGCCCCGAAGGGAGCCACTTGTCCTCAAACACCTGTCCGCTCCCAGCACAGCTCCTGGCTTTTCAAAAACCCTTCGCAGGAGTGAGAGCTAGACCAGGGCTGCAGGTGGCCAGAGGCGGCTTAGCAGGAGCAGCTCTCCCCTCACTCAATGGGCCCAGAACTCTAGGGCCTAGGAGTGGGAAGAGGCTCAGAGGCGGATCAAGGATGCAGACCTAGATCTTCTCCCTCTCGTCCCTTGGTCTAAAGGCCTGAGCCCTCCTTTATAACACCCACCTAGCCAGGGACTTCCCAGCCCAAGGCAAATTTGGGGTGATGTGCTGAGCATTTTCCAGTGAAAACAAATGAGCAAAGTGGGGTCATTTGATTTGAACACTCAGATTTAAACTTCTCTGTCTGCAACACCTGTACATAACTGCCAGGCTGTGCTGCCCCTCTCAGAAAAATCTAGATTTTCGTCTTTGACCCTGTGTCTATCCTCCCTGTTCTGTGCTCCCTTATCCTCCAATTCAGAATCAACCCATTTGTTCAATAAACATTTATTGAGCACCATAGTGCGACAGGCAGCACTGTGTAAGGCACTTCTTCCTTGCACTGGGGAAGACAAGCAGGCACTTCAGCATTTTCCATCTTTCCCTCATCTTCACAGATAATCTGATCAATGACTTTGCACTGAACTGCAAATAACCGATAATGCATAAAATGTTGATGCTCCTTAAGGGTAGTTAGCAAAGTAGCAAACCTCTAATTTTAATTCCTCAAGAATCTCTCCAAGAGGTATTTGGGAGCTTCCAGCTCTGCCTGAAGGTGAGATCAGGCTGCCCCAGACCATCTGCTTGCACCTCAAGCTCCCCCAACCTGTCCCCGACTCCAGGTACCTGCAGTTGAGAAACCTGAGCAGGTGGCAGGAAGAAGTCGGTTTTGCTCCGCTGTGGGACCACAGGCACCTCTATCCGGGGGACCACTTTAATATCTAACTGTTCCGTCAAGAAGACTGAGGAGTGATTGCAACAGATCAACCTCCCTCGTTGGTAAATGTGCAGGATTCCTCGAGACTATAGAGCATGCTGGTTAAGAGCTGAGTGCCCACCACTTCCTACCTGTGGGGCTGTGGGCAAGGCAGAGTTAACTCACATGAAAACAGAGATAATCAGAGCCTGACCTCAAAGGGTTACCATGAAGATTGCATGAGTGGTTCCCATCTCCCCCTCACTCACCGGTGCACATAACAGCTGCAAAGACCCAGCACTGGCCATATTTCACAGGCTGCCCACCCCTGGCTGACCACTGCCGCAGGATGGCCACGCTGCCGTTCCACTCCAGCGGGCTGACCCCCATGGAGTAGTCCTCTCCCCAGTTCCCCTGCAGCACGCCGCTGTCGTCATTGCTGTTGATCTACAAAGAACAAGCAAGTAGGTTTCCACAGCACCTGGGGGAAGCTCAGACTGTCCTCAGACAGGGGCGGGCAAGCTTCTGTCCTTACCATGGCGCTCACCACTCTGCAGACATACACCACGTCATTCCGCTGGGAGCAGTCTTTGGACGGGTTCTTTAAGAAGTACAGGCTCTTGTTCAGGATCTCAAAGCAGATATCTATAACGTCCTCTTCAAACTTACAGGTGATTGCAAGGGAGAAAAAAGAAGAGTAAAAATGTCCAGAATTCTGCAACTTCAAGCCAGTAACACAGACTTTTAGGGATGGTATGTATGTGGTGGATGTAGGCATGGGACTAAACATCAGACAAGGTCCTGCCTTCAAAGAGCTTCTAAGTCAAATTGGGACTGTATTAGATTCAGAATTCTGAAAAACTAACCAGTGTGGCTCTGATGGAAAATATTAACAGAATTCGGAGAGATGAGAGATCCTTGCTGACTGAAGAGATCAGAGAAGGCTATTGGAGCCAGTGGTCTTTAAAGGAGGAAGTAGACAGGAAGAGAGGAGGGAGGAGGTGTTCACCTGAGGTCTTTGAGCACGATGGATACCAAGGACAGGGGCTTAGAGATTCTCATTTCTGGAGGACGTGTCGGAATAGGAAAAGATCAGATGGATAAATATAGGGCCAGGCACGTAAGGAGAGGGAGAAGAGTGTGGAGAACCTTGAAATCAGGTAGAGGATTCAGTGCTGATGCTGTGAGCACGGGAGAAGCCCGTGTAGGCTCATGACATACGTTTACAACATATATTTGTGACATATGTCACAACACTTTTGGCTGCAAAATGCACTGGTATTTGTCTCATTTTCAAAAAATTATACAAGTTGTCACAGTTGGAGAACAGGGAAACTGATCCTCCTCAGCAAGGCTCCCTGCTTCCCTCTAACTCTTCCCTGCTGGTGTGTGGCCAGGGCTGAGAAGGCAGTGGGAGGCAGAGAGAAACTACACCAGCCGTGGCTGGTGGTCGAGAGTGGAAAAGCTGACCAGAGCCAAAGGTCCTCCTTCTGTACACTGACTGGATATTTGATGTTATTGATAAATTGCTATTAATTTTTTCAGTTATGATAATATATTGTAGTTAAGTTTTTCAGAAAGAGTCATCATCTTTTAAAGCTATATTCTGAAGTATTACTGGATTAAATGATATGGTATCTGTAATTTGCTTCAAAAAATCCAGTGATGAGGTGAGGAGGATGCGGGAGTATAGACCAGGGATCAGCAAACTTTTCCTGTAAAGGGCCAGATAGTAAACATTTTAGCCTTTGCGGGTCATAGAGTCTCTGTCTCAACTACTCAGCTCTGCCATTGTGGCATGAAAGCAGCCACAGATGATACCTAAACAAATGAGTATGGCTGTGTTCCAGTAAAGTGGTATTATGGACACCAATGTTTGAACTTCATAAAATTTGCACATCACAAAATATTATTTTTTAAAAATTCTTTTTCAACAGTTAAAAAAATGTGAAAACCATCCTTAGCTCATGGGCCATGCAAAAACTGGCAGTGGGCCACATTTGGCCCATGGGCTATAGTTTGCAAAGCCCTGGTATACACGAAACAAGATTCACCATAAATTGATCACTGTTGAAGCTAAGAGATAGGTTCACGGAGGTTCATTATAGTAGCCTGCCTACTTGGATTATGTTTTAAGTTTTTCATATAAAATATTAAAAACTAAAAAGGAAAGGCGTCTCCCCCTTTCTTCCTTGCCCCTCTCGTTGAATGGAAAATTGGTCCAGCATTGAACATCCTGACTTTTGTTAGCAGTGCTTCATGCGCTACCAGAGTTGTCTAAGGAGACCTGCCCAGGCCCACCTTCGGGTGACAGTGTTACCTGCCCGTAATTCCAGGGCCAGGCGGTGATGAATCTTTCATGACCCTTGTAAACAAAGGCGTAGTCCATCATGATATACTCCTGCAGCAGTACTTCACTGGGCAGGTAGACGTCGTCCTCTGAGCGGTTAAGAGCAGTGGAGGGAGCAAAACCCCAAACCAAAAAGCAAACAGAGCAATAAAGTTAAAAAACAGTAATGACAGTATCTTACTGCATAATAGGAGAACCCATGGGTTGATGGAGATAGAAATCAAGACTGGATCCCTTAAAAGACTACTATGTGCTTTTCTAGAGGCCAGCAATATAATCTATACTTTAAAAAATAATGATTATCTTTTCCTGATTGTAAAAGCAGCAAGCTTATTGTAGAGATTTGGAAAATACAGATGACATAAAGAAGATGATGAAAATCACTCATTCCCACTACTGGGAGTCACCCACTATTACATGTTGTTGTGTTTTGGCCACTCTCTCTTTCTCCGCACATAAATATAACGCAATTAAGATCACATTATGTTCCATTCCCAAATCTATTTCACTTATATCACACCATGAACATTTCCATCATGCCATCAAAAACTCTCTGTAAAGATGATTTTTAGTGAGCACATGATAATATATTGCATAGATATGCAGTGTTTTATTTTCTGGGCTTTCTAAGCAGAACCTCACAGAGTCTTCCCAAAGGATCACGTTAGCATTACAACCTGTGAGCAAGTCGTACCTGCACTCCAAGGGTTAAAAAGCAGGATGAAAGTCCCCAGAAGGTGAGTTGAGCTGTGACCCTGGCCCTGAGAGATCTCTATCTTCAGAGTGTAGGAGCCAATGACTGCATTGGCTGGTGTGAAAAGGGAGACGGAGAACGAGTTGGAGTCAATGGTGAAGTCAGAAGCACTCCAGACATTCCCCTGTCGGGCCTGGGTGAGTGAGAAGGTGGCTCGGGTTCCCAGCAGCTCCATGGGTGCTGGTCCTGTGTAGGAGAGAATGACCCCACTGTGAGGCTCAAAATCTATGTGACATGATTCCAGGTGGATTGGAAGGACACTCACCTTCTCCCACCACTTGCCAATCCTTTTGGTTTAAGGCTTTTACTGCCGCTGTGTGTCCTTGGACAAGCCTTAAGATCTCTGAGCCTCAGTTTTTTATCTGTAAAATGGGATCATAATAGTACCCACCTGAAATTCTTGTCATGGGGATTAAACGAGCCACTGTGTTTGAAGTTTTAGCACAGTGCCTGTCATGTATTTAAAAGTTGGCTATTATCACAACTTCAGTTCTTTCAAATCTTTCCTTAACAGCACTAATACGGTGCTGAGCACTAAAAGGGTCCTAGGGGTCCCAGGAAAAGAGAGGGAGGCTGGCGCAGAAAGGAGAGGCAGGGGCACAACAGGTGAACTTTGCCTTGGGGTGGGTCAAACTCACCAGTCTCAGCCACGAAAGTGATGTGGTCAGTCTGGAACTGGAACGGTCGGTTGAAATTCAGTCGGAGCACGAAGAGCTGGCCCCGGCGCACGATAAGCCGCTTCAGGCCCATCTCCTGTGTGTGATGCTCCTTGTTGTTCCTGGGGCTCTGCAGATCCACGGATCTGAGCTCCAAGGCTGCCACTTGGGGAGAGTGAGGGACAGGTCACTGCCCAGCTGTGGCTCCCTGGGCTCAGCATCCCCTGACACTTCTCAATCATTTCTGTGACACTTGGCTCTGACTTAGGTAAGATTCCTGTCCAGATCTAAGCCCTTCTGCCACTCGGCCCTCTCATTTAACGACAGCCTCAGAGGGCAGTTTAGCAGGCCCTGACCCAAGAGTGGGAGGACAACGATCCCGGTGACCTCTGTACCTGGATCCAGAGCCACAATGCTTGATAATTATGGTCCCAAAAAGCAAACCATTTCGAGATAACTGAAACTTAACCCTTGAGGTGCTGCCAGATATACTTAACCACTTTTGTTGACAATCTTTCTAAAAAATTACTCTATTATCCTGCAAATAGAAGAAAGAGAATATTAGAATTTTGTATGAATTAAGTCAATGGCTGATTGGAGGCTGGGACCTCAGCCACAGGCCAGTCCCTGCTTTGAGATACAGGGGGGTATGTGAGCCTCAGGGTTACTCGTTACTTGTTGCTTGCTTCTCAGCTGTATTCCGGATATATAAGCGCACCGACTGCTTCCTGGGGTGCTACTGTATGTGTACACTTAGTATACAGTTTAAAAGCTCTCATAGCACAGTGGGCAAGAGTGCAGGCTCTCACCACCTTGGCTGTGAGACCTGGAGCAAGTCATTTAACCTCCCTAGACATCGGTGTCCTCGGCTAAAAAATGGAGACAATGATATTCCTACCTCATAGGGTTCATGTGGGCATTAAGTGAGGATTCACATGTAAAGATCTTAGCATTAGTACTAGTAATAATGCAGCCTTGAGTTGCATTTGCTTTGCTATTTTTGCTGGTGATATTTATTGTGTTTACTGTCAACAAAAATCCATTAGCTCTTTTCTGCTAGTAGTACATCAATTTATCTCAGCAGTTCTTGACCAGGGAAATTTTGTCCCCTGGAGGACATTTGGCAATGTCTAGAGACATTTTGGGTTGTCACAACTTGGGGGAGAGGCTGCTACTGGCATCTAGTGAGTAGAGGCTGCGGATGCTCCAAACAGCATCCTAGGGCAAAACTCGTGTTTGCTCCCAGCCAGTTTTTGTGCCATTTGCATTTTGAACTTCCGAATAGGTTCTTAATGTTTTTGCTAAATGAGTTCACTTTGATAGTTTCAGGCTCTCTTTCCTACCTGGCTGGATTTTTTGAATCCTAATTCTTTCACCCAAATGCTTTACCTTGCCATCTGGGAATTGGCTAAACTGTCTTCCAGGTCTTCATCAAAGTCATTGGTAATAAGATGGTTCTAAGCATGAAAGCTTAAGTCGGAGGCCAATGGAGTACTGTTAGTGCTTTCTTCCAGATTAACATTAGGAAATACTCTTTAAGTATAGTTGTTCAACTAGCTGTGACTATATCTAGTTCTTTACATGAGGAAGGTGGATTAGGTGTTTTTAAATTTCTTTCACAGTCTAAAATAAAATCCAGCTTTTATATTTGTATGTTTCCCACAAATCTGTCAAACATATGGCTGAAAACAGAATGTGCATGGTAGTCCCTTGATCCCCTTACTAGTAACAAACTTTCCTTGAGGTATATTCAAAAGCAAATTACTGGATCAAATAGTACAACGTTTTTAAACTTCTTGATGTAAGTTAGGCACTTAAATAGTTATATTATTGGAACCAGAAAATTCCAGGCAAGATCTAAGATAGATGTCTTTGAATTACTTAACAGCATTTTTTAGACGTCAGGTCTATTCCATTAGTAGTTTGTGAAATCAATTTAGAGAAATGTGACCAATATTTTAAAAGAAAAAAGAATAGAGTAGAAAATATCACAATGCATTGCACATAGAAAAAGCAAGTAAAATTTTATGTATAACTGGGTCATGATGTAAACTGTGGGTCATAGTCAAAAGTTTGAAAGCAACTGGCCTAGATCCTGTTGGAAACTGGTTGCAGCTCATTTGTTCCTAAGGGGCCTGACATTCACTGAGCCTTCACAGAAAGCCTCTCTGCCCTATACATAATGCCCAATGACAGTTCCACCCTGAAAGATCAGACACCCCAAAGAGGCAGTGCAGAACACACAGGAGTGCTTCCATCACTTCCACAGGAGACAACAGGACTGGGGGCAACATTTTCCTGACTACTGTTCACAGCTCCAAGCATAGTTTCTAAGGGCAGCTAACTCAATTTTCCATTTACCCAGGTTGACTCTTGGTTTGGAAGGAAAGAGGAGGAGGAAGAAGGAAGATGTTCTTTCTACGCCCAAGGTTGCAGTGCACAGAGAAAACTCATTCTCCACTGGAGACTCAGGTTTTCTTTTTTCTTCAACTTAAGATAATTATGCATTTGGCTCAATGAATTGCTTTTCCTGTCAGGGAGACAATGACTTAGAGAACAAAAGGGAGGATCTTCAAGGGAGCAGGGAAAGAAAGCCAAGAGGATCAGCAAGAGGTTCAACAAAGCAGGAAATCAAGCAGAATCAATTAGTAAAAACATGTCAGCACCCACAAGGCCTTCTTGACTTGGCCACCGGCCCAGCAGGGTTAATGATGATTAAGAGGAGAGGTAAGCCCAGGCCACAGGACTCCTGGCACTTGACTAATATAAAGACAAGAATATAAAAGGATCAAAATATATCCCCATATATTATTAGCTTTAAAAATAAACAAAAAAAGGAAACATTAAAACAGCTGTCTGCCTGCAATGTGTTCTGAAGTGTGAAGTGCCTGCCCTCCGAGAGATCAAAACCTGAGGCAGCCCTGCTCTCGTCAGGCTCCATCTCTCCCCTTGGGTCTTAGCTCAGAGGTAACCACTACACAGGGGCTTTCTTTGACCACTGCATATGATGCCTCACCTCCTACCCTGTGATCACTTGCCATCACAACACCCTCTTTATTTTCTGCAGAGTACTTAATAGTATCTAGAATTAGTTCCGTGGAAGCAGAGACCTTGGCCATCTTCTCACACCAGGATCCCACTTGCCTAGAATGGAGCAAGGTTCCTAATTGCTGATAATTGGAGCTAATATTCACTGAATACTTACTACGTGCCAGGCACTGTCAGAAGCATTTTACATGTCTGAAATCATTTATGTTCTCACAACCACTCTGTGATGGAGGCATTAATATTGTTCCTGAATGCAGGAAGGTGCGGGGCAGAGCTGAGATTCAAACTCAGGCAGGCTGGCTCCAGGGCCTGCCCTCTAACCTTCACAATCTCCTGCCTTCCCTGGTGGGTGCTCAGGGATGTTTGCTGAATAGATATGTGCATGCATGTGTGAAGTACAAGGGGAATAATCTGTCCGGGGGGCAGTGGGGCTGTACAGGAAGAGAGGGGGAAAAGCCTGTGAGGGCAGCAGGGCCAGGTTGCTGCTATTTGGTTCAGTAGTAATGGGTATACTTAACCCTGATGGGAGGATACAATGTTACACATTTCTGAGGGCAATTTATCAATATTTGTTACAAAATAAAGGAAAGCCTTAAAACGTAAATACCTTTGATCCATAAATTCCCTTTCTAGGAATTTTTCCTAAGAAAAGCATCATTTGTGTATAAAAATGTAAGCATAAGGATGTTCAGTACGACCCAAATGTCCTACAATGAGTTGGATACGTAAACTTATTCCTGTCATCTCGATGTAACCAACAAAAAGGACAAAGAATATGGAGAAATAACTTATGAGATTTTTAAAAAGCAACATAAAAAGACTGAAAAACAGCATGTTACAGATGATCTTTAGGTGGTGAAATCACGGGAAATCTTTCTTTCCTTTGAGTTTTTCGGTGTTGTCCAAGCCTTTGCTTTGAACAAGTTTTCCTTTTGTATTTAGGGAAAGGTGTTACTCTAATTAAAGGCAGGTTTTTGAGCAGGAGTGGCATGATCAAAGCTGTACTCAGGATTAATTCAGCTGTGGTGTGTAGCCCAGACCCGAGGGAAAAAAGACTAAGTGGGAAGGGCAGTGAGAACTCTGTTGCAATAATCTAGGCAAAAGTCTAATGAGACTCTAAACAAAGGTGTTAGTAAGAAGAAAGGAGGGAGCACCTTATGTGTGCAAGGGACTAGCGTCCATGGGCATGTGGCAGGCTAACAAACACTTGTTGAAATACCTTGACATCCAGGGCTTCCTAAGGCCCCAGCTAGTTTGGATGAAGACTGGGGCAGATTAAAAAAATCCAGGGCCAACAATGTTCTAGGCAATCAGGCTACTGGTGAAGGACTGGAAAGCTCCAGGCAGAGACGGGGAAGGGTAAGTTATACCCAGCACAGCCAGCAGAGAGTTGGCACCTGCCAGCAAATGTCAGGTAGACTCGGCTCCTTTCCTTCTCCTGCCTCCGTCCCTGCATTTAGTCCAGTTTCTCCATCAATGTCTTTTCCTTTTGCTCTTCTCATTATTATGGTCAGTTTGGGACTTTGATAAATACTTCATTCTTTTTCATTTTTCCCCTTTTAAAAAATGTGAAAGGGTACATCTGTGTGAGAGCATATGAAGATTCCTATATGGTGAGATTACTGCAAAGTGTGCCTGTGCCTCTTTAAGTGTGCAAGAATATAAATGTCTTACAATCATGCATCACTTAACGACAGAGATACATTCTGAGAAATGCATCCTTAGGAGATTTTGTCATTGTGTGAACATCATAGAGTGTACTCACACAAACCTAGATGGTATAGCCTACTACACACCTAGGATATATGGTACTAACCTCATGGGACCACCATCGTATATGCGGTCTGTCATTGACTGAAACATTGTTATGCAGTGCATGACCGTATTACCTAAGCAAGTCCAAATTCCTTAGTCAAGCATTCAAAGCCCTCTTCAACGTGGTCCCAACGTATCTATCCAATCTTATCCCCCAATAGCCCATAAATAAACTCTGCTTCACTTGTGTCATGGCCTCCAAATAGATCATGCCCAGCTCTACCTCTTGACAGTCCCTGCCCCTTCCCCAACCTCTGTGAGTCCCCATTGTTCTCATTCTTCAAGCAAAACTCAGCATCCACCTCCTCTGTGAAATCCTTCCCAAGCATTTCAGAACATGAAGATATCTTAGCACCTGTAACAATAGTTTATATCTAGCTAATATTTACTGAGTGTTATTAAGCTCCAGGCTTCATATGCATTATCTCCTTCCATTCCTACAATTACCCAACAATATATTATTAACTCCATATTACAGATGAGCAGACAGAGAATCAGCGAGGTTAAGTAAATTGCCCAGTGTCACCCCCCCTAGTAAGTGGTGAAATTGTCATTTAAACCCAGACATTTTGACTTCAGAACCTAGCTCTTAACTTCTGGCCTGACGTGCTGGTCACTTTTTTTTTCAAGTTAGTGAATATCGTGCTTTATTCAAATGAAAACGTAATAAACAGACCCAAGAGGAGCTACTCCGGTGGAAGCACTGGGGAGGAGTCCCCTGGTTTCTCTCTAGAGTCTTAGGTGTCAAAAGAACACAGTGAAGGGCCGGCCCGGTGGCGCAAGCAGTTAAGTGCATGCGCTCCGCTGCGGCAGTCCGCGATTCACCGGTTTGGATCCCAGGCACGCACCGACGCACTGCTTGGCAAGCCATGCTGTGGCGGTGTCCCATATAAAGTGGAGGAAGATGGGCACAGATGTTAGTCCAGGGCCAGTCTTCCTCAGCAAAAAAAGAGGAGGATTGGCAGATGTTAGCACAGGGCTGATCTCCTCACACACACAAAAAAAAGAACACAGTGAAAACCACAGCTCCATCTCAACCTCCGCATGCTAAAATGCAGCGGGTCAGGGAGCAACCAGCTCCAGGACCTACCTGGTCTCTCTCCCTGCTCTGCAATTTCTTACACTCTGAACCACTTGTTTGCCAGTTAATCACATACTACTACTATGTTGTTTCTTTGACACATAATTTTCATTTAATGGTGTCTACATGATTTACTACATTGTTTGATTGTTTATACCCAATACTCAGCAATTCAAACAGCTGCTGGCAAAAAAAAAGTGTTCCCAGGGCCGGCCCCATGGCTTAGCGGTTGAGTGCTCGTGCTCTGCTGCTGGCTGCCCGGGTTCGGATCCCGGGCGTGCACCGACGCACCGCTTCTCCGGCCATGCTGAGGCGGTGTCCCACATACAGCAACTAGAAGGATGTGCAGCTGTGACATACGACTATCTACTGGGGCTTTGGGGGAAAAAATAAATAAATAAATAAAATTAAAAAGAAAAAAAAAAGTGTTCCCAGTCTGGCTATACAGTTAAATCATTAGGTCTTTTGCAGCAAATGTAACAAAGGATTAATATCCATAATATATAAAAGTTGCTATAAATATTAAGAAGTCTTGCTATAATCAGAGAAATGCAAACCAAAATAATGAGATCCCATCTTTGATTCATTCAAAAATATTTTAAAGAATAACAATAACATTTTGTGAAAGTATATGGAAATAGACTATCTCATATATTGATGGTGGGGGCGTAAATCCATACAGACTTTTTAGAGAAAATTGGTTGATACTAGCAGAACATGCCATCCCAAAATATGCCACTTTGGCATAAATATTATTTTGAGCTGAAAGCAATTGAGAAGAAGCAGATACAAGAAAAACCCTCTGTCCTCCCCCATTTGCCTAAAAGCAAGACGTAAATTTGTAAAGGTGTCCTCTTTCTTCTCTCCACCAGGAAGGACAGAAGTTAATCACTATGACAGCTCCAGACACGCATTAGCCCAAAGATGGCACTCGAGGAATCTACATAACAAAGTATTAACCAGCCCTCATCTTCCATTAGTTCCCCTATATATTTACCTCCCTACAATTTGCTGTCCTAGGAACTCAAAGTCCTTTTCCTTCGTCTTGTCACTTCTCTAAAAATTTACTGTTCTCTTAGGATGCTGTATAAGCCCAAGTTGTAACCATCCCTTTGAGTTACTCATCACTGAGTGCTCCCATGTGTATGTGCAATGCACATGTAACTAAACTTCTATTTGCTTTTCTCTTGTTAATCTGTCTTTTGTCATTTGAATTTATAAGTCCCCTGCCAATGAACCTGATTGGTGGAGGAAAAAAAGTTAAATTTTCCCTCCCCTACAATAGCCATCAAAACTTAAAGAGGATATTGTCTTTGATCCAACAGTTCTTCTTTTAGAAATCTTTCATATAAAAAATATTTGCACATATATGCAAAGTTATATCAACAAAGACGTTCATTGCAGCATTGTTTACAAGCGCAAAATGTTGGAAACAATCTAAATGTCCATGAATAAAGCATAGTAACACATTAAACAAATTAATAAATTTATTAAATAAATTGTGTTTATACGCCCAGAATGGAAAACTATAATTCATTACAATTTTTTGACACACCAATTTGCACTGGCATGCAAAGATTTCCAAGATATATGATCAAGTTATTAAAAAAGCAAGTCATCAGTTAATACGTATTATATAATCTCATTGTATAAAACAAACAATTTTATATAATCTATTATTATTTGGAAGCAGTTAACCAAATTGTTAATAGTTCTTTCCTATGAGGAAGGAGCAGGATTGGGAGTACACTGTATGTAAAGGGGGACTTGGGCTTTTTTTACCCTAGTATATGAACTTTTTACTTTTTATAACAAGCAGATATTTTTTGTGTATTATTTGTTTAATTAAAGTGTACTATTTTAAAAGATAATATAACATTTTAGGCTTACTCTGGTTGGCAAAAACTGAGGAGAAAAAATGTCCTAGAATTTTGTACAAAAATATCGTGGAATCTAGTGTATGAACAAGCCTCTTGAGACTTCTCTATTAAACTCTGGCTTGTACGTACATCTCTAATTTCTAATAGTTTGTATGATATATTATTTAGAACACAATTTTAAGAAATACGTAATCCATTTTACTGCTCTCTCTCGGCAGACCCCATGTGACTGCCAGGCTGGCCCAGACTACGGGGCCCTGTTCTTCTCACTCCCAGCAGCAGGGGTCTGAGGAGACCCGAAAAGGGGCCTGAGCTCAGAGGGCAGGAGCAGCAACTCTCTAGGGGAGCTGAAAGCAAGAAGAGAAGCTGGACCAGGAGAAAAGTCTGGGTACCAAGAGGTGGTCCTCCCGCAGCTCCAGGGTTAGCCACAGAAATGGCCTCCCAAGTACTAAGGGCAGCTGGTGGTAAATGCCAAGGTCCTTGTTGGCCTCCTCAAACATCCCAAGGCTGTTCCAGTCCCAAGATGTTAAAGAAAAGGTTGTCCACAGCTTTAGGGTTAAGCTGAATCCATTCAGAAGAAAATGAATGGCTGTATGATTTGTGCCCCAAGGTCCGAAAGAAGGGGAGGAAACGGGAGGAAGGAGCCAGATTACATAGAGAACCATCCACATCAATTTAGGCTCCCCTGTCTCTTCTGTTCACCCTCTACCCTCTCAAAATGTCTCTCCTCTCTAGACTTAGCCCCTCAAAGAAGTTAGATTCCCAGTACTCACCCCGATCCATCTACCTCCTCCTTCTGTCAGCAAGAGCCTTTCACCTCATCAGTATTAAGATATAGACCTAATTGCCTCTCTAAGCAATTACAGTCATCATACTATAGAAACTTTCCTTCCATCCTGAGTTGGGTGGGGCTGCCATTTCCTCCTCCTCCTAGAACTCCTCCTGCTCCTAAGCATCCCCGTTGTTCCGGGTATGTCTTAGCTTAAGGAAAAGAGCTTCTGTCTAAAGTTTTTTAAAAAAATTCCTGAGGGATTTGTTTCTGTGGCTTCCTTTTTAAGCTGAGAAGACTCAAGTGACATGGAAGGCAAAGCTTGGTTTGGATCTCTCCCTTTGCGCCTCTGTCACGTCAAGGCTTGGGACACGATTCACTCTAAGCCAGCTCAGTCTTGTGTGAGGCATCACCTGACAGTCAGTGTTGAGACTGGCATGAGCACAGAACAGAGCTGCCCTCAGGAAGGTCATGCACAAACGGTCATGAAAATGGGTTTGAACAGCCCATTAGGACCCAGAGAACTTTGCATCTTAAAGAAAAACAAAGTACATTGAAATGGTGAATTATTACGCTATTGATTAAAAAAGAAGTTGGTAAAGTTTCCAATGACAAGGAGAAATGCTTATGATATAATATTAACTGGGGAGGAAGAAACAGGATACAAAAACGTGCAGCTTATCTCAATGGTGTAAGAAATGTTACTCACACAGATAGACCCATTTTTAAAAGGCAGAAGAAAATATAATAAACTGTGATTGTCTAAGAGCAGTGAGATTGTGATTTCCTTATTTATACTTTTATGAATTAAAAAAAAATTCCACAGTGGGAGGATAAGATATATTTAATCAGAGAGGAAAAAAATATTTTTAAGAGAAAACGAGAAAAGGAGTAGGAGGGCCATAGCTGGACATCCAGATGTGTGTCTTTTACTAGATTCACAATTTAAACAGAGAAGCAGAAGTATCCAGTCAGCACTCCTGGAGGAAGAATTTAGTTTGATAAAAGAATAGTGAGGCAGAGAAAACAAAAAGCTATTTTACATGTTTATTGTAAGAGGTGCCTAATTCTCCGGGTTAATTTGTGTGATTCGTTGCAAATTCCTGCATCTCTTGTAATCAAGCTTTCTGTCGCTTCCTCAGCCTTTTTTAATGTGTTGAGTGTATTTCGGAAATGGTCCTCAGTCGAATGCATTAAACTCGCTCATTACCAAGTGTTCACTGGGCACCCCAGAGACTTTATTTTTATGAAAGTTACTGTACTTTGGCTCAGAAAAATAACACTTTGTTTACTGGTGTAAGAATCTCTTGTGTTTTTAAGGAAGGCAGAATTTTTAAAAACAACTCTTTGTAATAAAAGTCCTAATTCATATTAAAGATATTGTGAACACAGATTTTTTTTAATGGAGGGGAGTATACATTTTGGTAAATTTCCTTCCTGTTATTTTGTCTACGCTGTGGTGGGGTTTTTCCCATAGTTGCAATCATATTGTTTCTTGAAAACAGAACTTGTTTAAAGTGAGAATTTCCATATAAAACAATTTGCCATCCTATTTGAAAACATAGCCTTATGATGTACTGACTATTGCCTTGTAAAAATAGGCTTTTATAGCTGAAATATTATTTACTTCTTTATTTCAGCTCTTCCAATTTCATTTTGGGGCTTAGATGGGAAAAGAGGTTTCTCCAAAAATAACCACAATATTATTATCCAGGTTGACCAAAGAAATTCCCTTTGGTCAGTCCTAAGGGCCCCATTAACACTGAGTGTCCCAATTTCAGCTACTACTGTCATTCCGTGCTTCATTTCATAAGTATTGAATGACTGGGATTTTGACAGCACTATATTAGAAGTTTTGAGGCACACAAAGCTAAAAGCTGATCATTAACCCCAAGGAGCTTAGACTCTATTGGTGGAAATAAAGCACACACGAATATCGTCTAGAAAGGAAACTGCCCTGAGTAGTGGGCTCAGAACAATGAAGGTCTTCTAGGGAGGAGCCAGGAAACGCATTGTGATGTGTGACCAGCCACTGGTCATGAAGGATGAAGAGGATTTCAGAGAGGGAAATGGTATGAGAAAGGGATTCCAGGCCAAAGGCCCAGCATGAGCAAAGGGGGAAAAGTGGAGAGCTTGGGCTTGTTCTGAAAATGGCACAGGAATTGCCTGCAGCAACCCAAACTCACTTTATAAAGCAATTGTTTTCAATAGGGAAAAAAGAAGGAGTCAGAGGCTTGAGAGTTTCAAAATTATAAAAAACAAAGCTGTTTTTCCTCTGCTGCTTTAGAAATTAGAGTTTTGTAGCTGCTAGTGATTCGTTTTAAAACCTAAACATCACCAATCAAATTGAGCTTCTGATTGCCCCTAGCTTTTTTCATACCGCTACCTACATTAGCTTCACATACACAACTGTCATCCCCACCTGGAAACTAGCTAAGCAGCTATATTGGGCAACTAATTTTTTAATTAAGTTATATTCAATTGGTTAAGTCATGATCAACATCCATCATGGCATTGCAAATCATGTTCTTTGTGTGTGTGTGTGTGAGGAAGATCAGCCCTGAGCTAACATCCATGCTAATCCTCCTCTTTTTGCTGAGGAAGACCGGCTCTGAGCTAACATCTGCAAATCATGTTCTTTGATCATATTATATTCTGTTTACTCTGTAGATTTTTCCCTAAAAGACAAATGCCCAATACAGTCAAGTTTTAAATTTAGTTTCCAGAACAAAAAAGCCATTCTACCATAAAATCATCTCTATGTTGATAATAGACCAACCTCTGCGAGGGTTAATCCACTAGATTTGTCCTACAACAGGACAGCAAACTCTGAGGATCTGTAACTCTATAATAAATACAGACACTATAATCCTTTCCTGGCTCCACATCCTTCTATGTGTCTACTGGGTTCTTCACTTGATCTTGCAGTCACTTCAATTCAACATGTTCAAAACTGAACTTTGTTAGCCTTAGAGAGCTTAAGTTTCATTGGTAATAATGGTAATATTTATGATCCTTCAGAATGTGAGATTCACTTTGAGTGAAAGAACATGTGTCAAGACGTGCTGCTAAGCTGCCCAAGGAGACCTTCATGACCACAGAGGATTTGTCACAGCCAAATGCAGCCTCAGTCTCCCTTTAGTCTTGTCAGTACTCCTGGCTTGATTATTCTCAGGGGAACTGAAGACAGCATATATGACCTAAACTGATAAGGTCATACCCTGCTTCAAACTCACCCATGGCTTGCATTGCTCCAGAGTCTAAAATCTTAACATGGTTCACAGGTTCTGCCACCATATTTTATCCTGACCACATCTCCAGCCATATTGCCCACAATTGTTCCTCTCACTTGCTGATCTTTTCTTGGTTTGCCCAATTACCAAATTCTCAAATTAAAGTCTTTCCCCAAGCCATGTCCTTCCCTGATCATACCTTCTACCCTCTCTTCAGACGTCAGCGGAAATGTCACTTCCTCACAGAAGATTTTTCTCACTAGCTGAGACCCCATGTTTACTCCCTTGGAGCACTTCGATGCTCCTTCACAGCACTGATCACACTGTAAATAGTCATTCGTATAATTTATCTTCCCCTCTAGATTCCCTGTTTTATATGCTTCACTCGGGTAATCCCACCTGAACAGGCTGAGCTACCTACAAAATAAATCCATTTTCTATGATACCTGAATTATAACACCACTAATGCTTCCCCTATGAAATTGGCTGGAAGTCAAGTAATTCATGGGATCTCCTCCCCAGAAGTCCTAGAGAATCCCCAGGGTTGTTTACTTTTGTCCACAAATTGGTCCTGCTCTCAACAGCTAGCGCCTACTTGGAGAATAGGAACTTGGCTGCACACTTTCAAGGATGAGTTGACTTGCTCCACAAGGCTAGAGGGTCTTGACCAACTCCACAAGCCAGGGAGGGTTGCGGAGACTTTCAGTTGTAGAGCCTGGAGGGTGGGGAAGGAGGGGCTAATGAAATCAGCTGCACCCTCTGCCTGGGATCAGCTCCTGAGCCTCTGCTGTGGAGCCTTGGGTTCTCATCCAGATGTCCCCTTCCTGATGGTGGACAAGACCGATCTTGTCCTCACCTGCCCATCTGACCTCAGTCTGGACCACCCCAGGCCATCAAACTTGTTTTAATAAGTAAACATCCAAGAGCAGTTAGTAGTGGTTGGTCCTCCGATAGGTTTTTTTCTAGGATGTTCCTCTGCCCCTTGAAAATGATGGAGGAAGAGTAATGGAGGAGTTTTGCCTAAACATCTAAAACCTGGGGCGGAGGTTATGCCTAATTCTGTTACCGACAACCTCATGAGCTTGTCCAGCCAAGAATATTTTTATTCTTTTTTTAGATATGTTAATTCCATCAATTATGCTACAACCAAATTTTGTTACTACTTCAGGCTGCACATAATCTTATTTCCTCTACTTCTTACCATTCTTGCCCCACCCCCACTAGACCAGGTGACTATTACCTCTCCTGGACCACTGTGCCTCCTAATTGGCCTCCCATTGCCACCTTTTGAACCCACAGTCCCTACACCACACAACAGCCAGGGTGAATTTTTAGGAAAGAAAAGATTGTCAGATCAGCTCCTTGCTTAAACTCTTCCATATCTTCTTCTTCCCCTTAAACATCCAAAAGATATAATACAGTCCCCAAAGCCCTTTCTGCTTTCCTTTTCCTCATTCTCTCTCTGCTGAAGCCACTTATTCATTTGACAAATATTTGCTAAGCATCTGTAAGTGCCAGGTGCTGGGGAAACAACAGTGAATAAGACTGATGAGGTCTCTGCTCTCATGGAACCTACATTTTAGTGGGAGTGACAGTCAATGAACGAGTAAATGGATAAACAGAAAAAGTATGCTCAGGTGGGGATAACTGCTCTGCATAAACAAGAAACAAGGGGATGAGAGAGAGAATACTAGTGGGGCAAGATATTACTTTAGATTGGATGGTCAGGAAAGATCTCCCTGGGATGGGGATGTTGGTCTGAGACTAAGTGACAAGAAAAAACAGTCATTTGAAAATAGGGACTAGGAAACAGTAAGTTCAAAGGCCATGAGACAGGAAGCGGGGTGTGTGTGTGTGTGTGTGTGTGTGTTGATCTGTTGGAGGAAAAGGGAGGCCAGTGTGAGTGGAGTGAGGTTGTAAGGAATGACTGGAGAGGGGATCAGAGAAGAAGGAGGGGCCAAACCTTACTGTTCAATTGAACTATGGTTAAGAGTGTTCAATTTCCTCTGAGTTTTCCTGGTTCCTTGGGCACATCTGTTTTCTCCCTGCCCAAAGCCTTCTCATA